GGCGAAAGTCGAGAAGTAGATGGTCAGAGCAATCAGGTAAAGGTAGAAGATGATACCAGCGCGAGGGCCTCGAACACTTGAAATAGCAACAAACCCGATCAAGCCACCGGCCACAGTGAAGGCAATACCAGCAATCAGACGAATGAGAACGAACATATTCGCTGCTGCGAAGGCCATCGAAATGAGGTAGTAAGGGCCACCGCATGCAATCCAGGTACCGATTGCACCGGAAAGCAGCAGAGAGATCATCAGCGCCATAGTTGCACTGTCCTGTTCCTCGTAAGTCATGGCAGCAGAGAGATAGAGTCCACGGCCAATCAGGGTAAGCAAGACAATATCAATCAAAGCTGGAATAGCGAAGACACTCAAAAATGTGAATCGCTGATATCCAGGCATGGCCTTAGGCTGGTCATCGGGGTTGACATCGATCTGAGCACCAGCGTAGGAGGTAGCGAGCTGTGGGGCACCGTTGATCCAGTTCGGCGGCTGATGGTCTCCGTAATAAGCTCTAAATCGGTCGGATAGCAACTTTCCGAAGACGCTAGGAGCGACGTCAAAGTAAGCTTCACATCGCGACCCAAGGGCAAATGACTCTGCGAAGGCGGCAGCCTGATCGGTATGGTTGTTAAATAGGGGATTCCGATCGGTCACTTCGGCGTAAATCTCATCGAAGGCACCTTGTCTTGCGGCACAGAAAAGTGCAAGAGCCATCATATCAACATATGTGTCAACGGAGCCGCCTTGGAGAAGCGCACAGAGACCGCGAGTAATAGCAGCGAGGTCATCCTCGCGGCGATATCTCAAAATATCGGAGAGAACACTGTCGGCCTGATGGAAAAGTTCAAGACAGACATCGAGAGACGGATATTTGCATCCTTGATCCAGGTACCAGTCAATACGAGATCTGATCAAATCCTCGGGAGAGGTAGTTTTCCCGAGATACCCAACTGTATTCAGCGCTTTTAACTGAGAAAAAGAAGGGGTATCTACCAGTTGCTTGCGAATGTAGGCGCAGATGGCTTCAGATAGATCGCTATGAGAATCAGTCAGAGAGAGGTGCTGCAAGAGAAGAAGGCGTTCTTCGGGGCTGAGAACATCGATGTCTTGAATCAGACGACGGGGAAGGCCAGTATCGCGGGAAACATCCCGAGACCAGGTCGCAAAGGTCGCCTCGGCCTCGAAGCAAACATGCCGGGGAAATCCCCTCGCTGAGAGGAAGGTGTGAAGAATAGTTCCAGCCAGGCCTTGCGCGTTTTTGGATACAAAAATTTCAATACCATCATGTTCCGTATCAAAAACGGCCCAAAATCGGACATCAGAGCTTTTACGTAGACCAGAGTCGAGACAAAGATTCACGTGCAGCAGATCGTTGCATGCCCAGTTCGCAAGCTCTTTGATTGTGCTGGCCAAATGATCGTCATCTTCAGAGACTTCCAGAGAGTCATGGAATTGACGCAGAAGGAGTCCAATGCTTTGAACTTTTGTTGGTGGGACGGGATGAAGAAGGTTGAGAGACTTGAGGCGTTGTTGGGATTGGACGATTTCTGCAAAGGCCAATGGAGTCGAGTCGGAACCAAGAGGGAAGCAACCAAGTGAATTGTAGGCCAGCCCTGACATGGAGATGGAGAGAGGATTGCCCTGTGACTTGACCTGTGCGACCCACTCTGGAGGATCGCGCATTCGAAAAGCCGGACTATCGGGAGCATTGGAGTCGTATTCTGATGAATCTAGCAGTGCATTAATAGCAGGGAAAAGTGGCCTGAGAACGTCCCAGCCAGCCTTCTTGTCCGGGGAAGGCAATATGTTCAGGTTGGCACGCCAGATATCGTGGGCCTTCATCATTTCTGCTTCCTTCAACCAACCAAACGCGGGAAGAGGTTCGAGAGTCGTGACGTTAAGATCTGCATCGTGAAGAGCAGCTTTGGAGCCAATCCAGGTAATTGCGCTGTAAAAGCCGCACCATTGGATAGATCTGCGGACTATAGCATTGGGAATAGTGACGTTATCGTCGACGGTTTCCCAGGCCATTACGACAAAGTCTCTCATGCAAGACTCGGAAACGAATGCCTTGATGGTCGATTGTAGTTCAATCATTTGGAAATAATCCCGCTTTTCGCCGTCAGGCAAGACGCTGGCGTTTCGAATGACCAAACCCGCTACGGCATCGCTCTGTACGGCCTTTCGATCCTTCAAGAAATGCGGTGGCTCCGACTCGAGATAGACTGCGAGGCCGAGGCTGTTGATGGTTTCGAAAACCATTCTTCGAGCGGTAGGACGGAGCATATCTTCCCAGTTCGCGAGGAGAATACCGGAAAATGCACTCCCTTGAAATCCGCTTGCGAGTAATTCCTCGATCTTTTCAAGGACGGCCAAGGGCGATGCCTTTGGAGGAAGGATTTTCCCAAAATCAATACGTCCTAGTACTTGGCCGCGCTCGTATCTGGAAATAGCTTTGGCGACACCTGACTGGAAGGGATCCACAATCAACACATCCCATTCTTGTAAAAGTCGTTCTTGCGAGGCAGTAGGTGGGCTTTCGAAGCTTCCCAGGTAGACTCCGAAGCTCGTAGGCTTTCCCTTGCGCGGACCTCTGTCGATTAAGTTGAGTTCTCGGTTTGCTAGGGCGGAGATACGTTTGGATACACTCGAAGACACATTGTCCGGTGGTGGTCTCGACTAAATATAAGCTAGAATTAGCATTCAAACCAGAGAACAGCTTGCTGGTGGTATATCATACCTTATAGTATTTGATAAGTCTCCTTACTCCAGAATATACGATTGACGAAGTTCCAACGGTGACTGTGAATAACAAGACTCCAATGAATATCTGTGGAAATGGTCAACATATCTTGTTCTGTGTCTGCAAGAGGGCTGAAGGTCAAGTTGTAAAGAGGACCAGAATCAACATACGAATTGCCACCAATGTTTGGTCATATAAGCCCAGCCAAGAGGATGAGGCCTGACTGGGAGGGAATCTACACCCTTCATTATGTCGAGATGTTGAGTCCTCGACTCAATATGTCTTTGGGCGTAATAAGAAAGGTTAGGATAACCTGTTGCCAAGAAGAGATGTGACTTTCTCCAATGCAAATGCTTATAGCGACATGCTTAAACGAGTGACTGCCGTGTTCTGCAAAAGCCAAGGATGTGTAGAACAAAAAAAAAAAGAAAAATTGGAGAGCAGAGAGGAGCTCAAGTGTTGACAAGGTGATAAGGTAAAAGAGTAGTGGGGGAAGAACTAAAGTGAATATCCACTTCTCCAAGCCGCATAAGTAAAGTAGACAATTTTTGCCTGCTAGGATTTCCCTTGTTCAGTTGTCAGGGGGGTGGGGTGTTAAAAAAAAAAAGCAGGGAAGAAAAAAACTAAGTAACTTCGCCTCGTTTAGACTATTTAGGACAAAGGGTACATGGGCGTCTACTGAAGTAAAGATCTTAAGAACATGGGGCTAAAATAGCACCGATTTTTTTTTGTTAGATGTAAGAGACTAAAGCCGCTAACCAATGCACCAGGCATTACCGATGAGACGGTGGAACCATAGCACATTATACAAACACATACAATATATATGCTGCCATGTGCGGAAAAGCCATGCGATTCATATCGTGCCCATTATTACCCCGACGGGTATCTATCTGTTTTTTTCCTCCGAATCTAAACATATCAGATCAACCCATTGTGCTTTCTTTTTTTTCTTTCCCCAGGATGTGTCTCTCTCTCGGATCTCGCCTACTTGGGACCTAAATGATGCAGTTGGGCACGGGCTACTCAGAAACATTATATCATTCTGCGCTGGACAAAATTTGAGGTCTTGGCAAAATGAAAATAAAAATAGAAATTGGAGAACAGAAAAAAAAAAAAAAAAGAAAAGAAATAAAAAAGAATAGAAAATGAAAATTACAAGGAAAAGAAAAGTGGAATTGGGACAAGGGAAGAATTGAAAAATACACTTTACCCTGTACAAACAGGTAAATGAAAGTTACCAAGTATTTGCAATTAAATCGTAAAATATACAGTATCCGAATCACCCGATAATACGGCCTCGTATACGGGAATATACAAGATCAGATGTACACATGTACGGAGTACACACACCCCTACTATGTATAGTACTTCGTATCCAGCCTAAGACATGCATTCTCTTCCGCTTCCCCAGAGGCCAAGATTTGGACCTGCCGAGTCTCCCCTGAATCCTCGTACCTGCTCTAAGAGCCCCAAATTTGTACCTGGAGAGGGCAGTGCACTGGGCGATAATGGGCCTTTGCGTAGCTCGGCACCGAAAAATGGAATTATGTGTTGTCGGAAGTTTTAACCCTTGTATGGCGTTCTTCATGTCTCGGTTAAGTCTATTTCAATTGCCTAGCCTCGTTTTATTTTGATTTTGATTTTCTATTATTCTTCTTGTTTCAGTTTGATTCCAAAAAGAAAAGAAGCAAACACGAGAATGAAATGAGACTTCTCACCTGGCCGGCCCTTGCGATATCAATTGTTGATTAGCCAATAGTATAGCTAGGAAGAGCTGCGAACGCCATATATATGTATTAACCTACAGCATAGTCATCCTCATAATCTCCCCTCCGCATTTTCAAATCGTCTGACCTCTCAGAACCGGTGAGATAGAACTCGCCTTATGCTTCCTAAACCAGCCATTAACGCCACATGGAGCAAGAGAGACCCATATAAAAAAGTGTTCTTTTCTTTTATTATTATTAGATTAGAACACAGATTACTTTCCGAAATTAAGTTCCAAAGTTAGTAACTACGTAGACACACAACGCGATAGGCTTTGAAATCTTGGCTTACTCCACAATGGTTTTATCTAGGTACAAGCGACTATAAAGAAAGATGATCATGCACTTGTGTGGGTTGCAGACGCAAGCTAAGTCCACTCGTTCAATATACGTACACGTATTTCATTTTCCTAGCTGTCAGTCGTTAGTTGCCAGACCTGCATATTTTGTGTGTGTGACCTTCCCTATCAAGGAATTTGGTCAAGATCGTCATGGTTGCCGTCCCAGTCTGGGCCTTAAAGGTCGGCTGCTACTATGCCTTTATAACATGCGACACTGCCCCAGGTGTTTGGCCTGATCACACGCCGACTGTCATCGCCTATCGTCCTCCAGTCTCGTCTCCTTCTAGTACTCCTAGTAGTTCTGTTGGAGTGAGCTCGACTTCATTCGCTACTTCTACTCACTTGGGTTCCTCTACTATCTCGGTGTCTCTGACCACCCCTATTGGTTCCTCTAGCACAGTTGCACCAAGCACTACTGGAGCATCTACCTTCGTTACTTTCACCTCCTCGGGCTCAATCCCGTCGAGCTCTGTTTCCCAATCTGTAATCGTCACTGTCCCATCCAGTTCTTCCAGTGTCCCTACCCAGAGTGGGTCGTCGTCTGTCTCATCAGCCTCGGCTTCTAGCTCTGTTGTTTCGTCCGGAAGTACTTCGGTCAGCTCATCCACCTCCGCTGTTTCTAGCAGCTCGCCTTCTTCGTCAGCCGTCTCGTCCTCGGCTGTTTCGTCCTCGGTCGTCTCGTCTTCGTCAGCTATTACGTCTTCGTCAGCTGTTACGTCTTCGTCAGCTTTCTCGTCTTCGTCAGCTGTTGGGTCTTCTTCAGTCGTCTCGTCTTCTTCAGTCGTCCCGTCTTCTTCAGCTATTACGTCTTCGTCAGCTGTTGGGTCTTCTTCAGTCGTCTCGTCTTCTTCAGTCTTCTCGTCTTCTTCAGTCGTCTCGTCTTCGGCTGTTTCATCTGCACCTGCCTCCTCAAGTGCTTCTGTGATTACTCATAGTATGTCGTCAACCGCTGTCTCAATCTCGGCTTCTGCCTCTGCCTCTGCCACCGCAATCAGCAACGCTGCTGTCGCAGCTAACATTCTGGTCATTGCCAGAGATGCTGCCTCTGCAGGCGTGGCCAGCTCTGGTCTCAACGGATACGGTATCCCATTTACCACTCTGATTGTTCCCTCCGCTGGTATTGCCCTTCCTGACCTCAATGGCACCGCTGGAGGAAACTTCGGCGGTATTGTCGTCGCCTCTGAAGTCAGCTATGACTATGGCGCCCAAGGCTTCCAGAGTGCCCTGACCACCGATCAGTGGAACCAGCTTTATGCTTACCAGCTTGAATATGGTGTCCGTATGGTCCAATATGATGTTTACCCAGGTCCTAAGTTTGGTGCAACTGCTCTTGGCGGATGCTGTGATACTGGAGTTGAGCAACTTCTGTCGTTCACCGATACCAGTGATTTCCCCACATCTGGCCTGAGAACTGGTGCAGGTGTCAGCACTAGTGGTCTGTGGCACTACCCCGCGACTATCAGCAACACCACCTCTACTAAGCAGATTGCTGCATTCGCCCCTACCACAGGCTTTACCACCGAGAGTGTCGCTGCTGTGATCAATGACTTCGATGGTCGTCAACAGATGGCCTTCTTCATTGGTTTCGACACCACCTGGAGTGCTACCTCCAACTACCTGCAGCACTCATGGATCACCTGGATCACTCGCGGTCTGCATGCTGGATACCGCCGTGTTAACCTGAACACCCAGATTGATGACATGTTCCTCGAGACTGAGATTTACTCCCCCGCTGGTAAAAACTTCCGTATTCGCGCCCAGGATCTGGCCAACATTGCCACCTGGACTGATGCCATCAACGCCAAGATGCCTGCTGGCAGTTCTTACTTCGTCGAAGTCGGCCACAACGGTAACGGAAACATCGAGAACTCTTCCGATACCTCGGATGCTGGTTGGGATGCTTGCGGCGCTGCTATCGAATATGATTCGCCTCTCGACACTCCCCTCGAGTGGGTCAAGCCTCTCGGAACTGGCACTAACCTGTGGCCCGACGTTCCCACTACTTACGACTGGACTGCTACTTGCACTGCCATGGATGAGCTCCTAGCCTGGTGGACCACAGAAAGCAACCTTAACAAGTTCGGCCACATTTCCCACACCTTCACCCACGAGGAGCAGGATAATGCCACCTACAGCGATGTCTACAAGGAGATCAGCTTCAACCAGGCTTGGCTCAAGGCTGTCGGTATCGACAAGGCCACCAAGTTCACTTCCAATGGTATCATTCCTCCTGCTATCACTGGTCTGCACAATGGCGATGCTCTTCGGGCCTGGTGGGAGAACGGAATCACCAACTGTGTTGGTGATAACACCCGTCCTGCCCTTTTGAACACGGAGAATAAAATGTGGCCTCTCTTCACAACTGCTGCCGCCAACAACTTCGATGGTATGCAGATCAACCCTCGATGGGCCTCTCGCATTTACTATAACTGCGATACCCCTGAATGTACTGTCGCCGAATGGATCGCCACCTCTGCTGGTGCTGGTAACTTCCAGGACCTCCTGGAAATCGAGAAGGGTGAAACCATGCGTCATCTCTTCGGTCTCTTCCACGATGGTTACATGTTCCACCAGGCCAACCTCCGCAACATCGATGTTGATCCTATCACCATCAACGGTGTGACCGCGAAGTACTCCATCATGCAGGCTTGGGTTGAGGTTCAGGTTCAGGAGTTCACCCGCCTCGCCGAATGGCCCATCATCACACTCACCCACCAGGAGGTAAGATAAAATTCCCATCTAACACGCTACAATCTCTCATTCATGTACTGACTCCTTATAGATGTCCGCTTCCTTCCTTGCCCGCTACAACCGTGACAAGTGTGGTTACTCTCTGAGCTACGCCATCAGCAACAAGAAGATCACTGGAGTCACTGTCTCTGCCACTGGCAATACCTGCACTGACCCTATCCCGGTGACCTTCCCTGTTGCTCCTACCAGCACCCAGGGCTTCGCCACCGAGCAGATCGGCGCTGACCCCCTGACCGTCTGGGTGAAGCTTTCTGGCTCCCCTGTTACATTCAATCTTTCCACCCCCATTTCCCTTTGAGGCTGCAAAGATTATTGACCTGCCTTCATTTGAAGGTTGACGTAGCCTTTTGGCTCTTGTTGATCACCTCTCACTTTCATTATAATTTGTGGATATCTTTTTTGGATGTCAATAATTGTTTCTATATATGTGAAGGAAAAACAACCTTGGCTTCTCTGCTGATACGAATATTTCATGTGCTACATTTTTTTAATGCTTGGAAAGCTCAAATCTAATTCTGCAATAATTTACAATGATTCTTTCTCTGATGGGTCTTCGTACTTCCAGCGTACCCAACACCATACACATAATGGGGCTGAGTCTGTACCGAGTACTGAACAATCTCCTTCCTAAAAAAAAGGAGGTCCTCGTATTCTCGATAGTACCCTCGGACAATGTAAATATGCAGTAGGTATCATTTGGTAGTCTGGTAGAGCGGGAGAGTGTCAGCAATTTCGCGCTTTAAGTCCGAGGTGACACGGTCAAGAATGTCTTTTAGGGTTTTACGAGCCAAGAGGACGATATTCGTCCGACTGATCCGGCGCAAGGCGCTGGAAAATACTTCCAGTATATCTTGTACGAGTCAGGTACCCCGAAAGGGGAAGCCCAAATTTTGATTTCTACCGATGAGACCAAGCCATTCAAAGCCAATCGATCGTAAAACGTGGCAAAAGAAACGTGGGCACGACGTTAGGAGCCTAAATTGTGTCTCAATACCACGCCACGGTACCCATCCCGCCCACTTGATGATTGCCATCCGGGGCAATCTATTCTGCTTGCCAAGTGATTCGGAAAATAAAGATCATGTCTCGGAAGTCGGAAGCTGGTGGGTGTAGCCCAAATGCAAGTATGTGGTATAGGGTGCTGTCAATGTCTGAGATACATGCATATCAATCTACCTATATAGTCTACGTGCAGGGTACCTAGGGCAATCTAACTCAGCCCCGATATCTGATTCCAGACCTATTCCATAGAGCGGGGAAGCATGTACATACGTATACAGAGTACGATGGGGGGCTTAATGCAGCTAGTGCATCGAATAAGTCAATTGACTCAGAAAGAAGGAGGCTCAATGGACTTACGGCCAGAACATGGCACCATATCGGAGATATCCGCTGAAATAGTCCCCTTGGCATTAAAAGCCACCCGGCCTCGGGGTTAATGCGCTTGACTTTGTACCTGGTAGGGTCATGTAGAATGTATGTCATGTAAGCCTCTTCGGCCGGGGTTGCATTCGCTGTTTGGAGTACTCTGACTGCTGTCAGGTACTGTTGCTTTATTTTCTTTTTCTTACTCCGGGATATCCCCAGCAGTGGCAGGTACCAGGGAGGCAGATTTTACGAGATATTAAAATGGAAAGAAAATGAATAAAAAAACACGTGTTAGTATGCATTCTGGGCAAGACATCTGAATCAAAATTTATCCATCGGGTCAAGCGTAAGAACTTGGAAGCTGTTAAACGCGATCTTGGCATAGGCTCGAGCTCTTCAAATTCGGCGGAAGAGCGCTGGAGATTAATACGACGGGATCTCGTATACAGGATTTGAAATTGCCGGGTGTGGCGTCCAAAGGGAAGGGAATAATCAGGCGATTGGGTTATCTAGGACTAGATCCGCACGCCATCGGGTTTAGCTTTGTTCTAGTGTATATTTTAGTGGGCTGTTAGGTTCTAGTAGGGCTGTGGAGATAGTGTGTTGTAGGTTCAATAGAAGCGTTCAATTCGAAACATACTACTCCGTAGTACTAGTAGAAATAGGCAAATGATACGGAGTAGTAATAGTGAGTTATTTGAACTCACCATTGCAACTTTTGAGGTATTTGAAATTAAAATTTCAACTTGATCTGCACATACGCGTCCAGAGAGGAATCCAAGACATCAGATGATGGGTATCCTTGTTGTTGACCAGGGCCCAACAAGTCAGCACTGGATGATTTCTAAACCGGCCGATCATTTCAAATGCAGTTAGGGCTAGCAAAATACCGTTTGGTCATCAGGTTTTGCAAAAAAACAAAAGAACCACTTTCTGTGGGGCTCCATGGTATTTACATATATATAACATACATAGTAATAATTACCAAAATGAAAATACAACAATACCATGCTTCGGGTCTTATGACTTGAAAAAAAAAAGGCTCCCAATTTTGATGTTCTAGACACCTAAGGCTAAGTAAGGCGCTTGCCAACACATGCATCTACCCCTATAGGTCATTGGCAATGTTCCAAATGTGAATAATCAGAAGTGGAAAGTAAACTTTTCTACGTGTTTTCCCCTCAAGCCTTATGAGTCTTTAGATTGTAAGGTTTTGTTCTATTTTAAAGACGTTGCAATAGTTCACTATAGACCCTGGGAATCCTAATCCAGCATATGGAGTACCATGTACAATGTAGAGTACTTGGCATACCGAGGTTTCTCCTTTTTTCCCTCTATTTTTGGGGAAATCAGGAAATCCCTCTCACTGTGGCTATACTGCATATGTATGTACCAAGACTGAAATTTTACTTGGCAATTTGGAATATCCAACGGGCCCCTGAAACTGCTGTGGCTTGGAATTGTCTATTTCTCATGCCTCTCTCTACAAAATTATGTATATGTTCTATGTCATACTCCATATACCGATATTATCAAGATCTCGGCCAATATAATCAAATCAAAAGATCAGCAGGTCCCACCATCTTATTCGTTTGCCGCCGGAGTCTCCAAGTGGGGTCTTGCCTTCCCTTACCCTCTCAAGCCTCCTAAGCCTCCCAAGCCTCTCCAGCCTCTCTAGGCATCCTCATTTTCTTACCTCAAACTCCATAAAAAGATCTGTTGATCACCGTCTGCCTTACCCTTTCAAGTGTTTTCAGGGTCTATTCTTCGGGATCTAAACCTGAGCTTTGCTTTTTCCAGACATTTGGGCGTGACATTCAGGTTCCCGATCGTACCCTTGAAGATCTCCCCTCAGCCCCGCTGGACCTGCGCTCTGGGCCCTGTTTATTTTGAGCTTAAAGACGCCTATCTCCCGTTGCTGATCATTTCATCTCTTTTTTCTCCCCTTTTCCCCTTGGCCTACCCCATACTTACTCTCTTTCGTTAAAATATCCCGAGATTTTGTTTTACCCTTGATCTCACATATCACACACAAGCCACTAAGCCTCTCCTATCGTTTTATCTCCCACTTCACAATCTGCCCTAATGGGTGAATATTCCAAGTCAGGCTGGTGGGCCTGGTCGACCAAAAAGAAGGTCCTTGTCATTGGAAGTATTGGCTTCATCATCGTTGCTCTGGGTGTGGGTCTAGGTGCCGGACTGGGACTTGGCCTCAAAGGCGGAGACGATGACAATGATAACGGCAATGGGGGCAGCGGTCCCGACACGACAACCCCAACAACAAACACAACCACACCAACAAACACCACTGTGAAATGGCAGCCAGCCGTCGGCACCAAGTGGCAGATTATCTTACTGAAATCGGAGGAGACTAGCCAGATCGCTACCTCTGTGGACGCCCCAATCTACGACATTGATCTTTTCGACAACAGCAAAGCCGTCATTTCAGATCTCCAAGGCATGGGCCGCAAAGTGATCTGCTACTTCTCTGCCGGTTCCTTCGAGGATTGGCGCGATGACGCTAGCAAGTTCCAGGACGCAGACAAGGGCAGTGATCTTGACGGATGGCCCGGCGAGAAATGGCTGAACCTCAAGTCTGCCAACGTGCGCAAAATCATGCAGGCGCGTCTCGATGTTGCCGTAGCCAAGGGCTGCGATGGTGTCGACCCTGATAACATTGACGGCTACGACAACACGAATGGACTTGGTCTCACCAAGACCGATGCTATTAACTACGTGAACTGGCTTGCCGGCCAGGCTCACAGCCGTGGTCTCTCGATTGGATTGAAGAATAGCGGAGATATTATTGATTCTGTCATTCATAACATGCAGTGGTGTGTCAATGAGCAGTGTGCTGAGTACGACGAGTGCGATACCTATGCGGCCTTCATTGAGGCGGACAAGCCTGTCTTCCACATCGAGTATCCCAAGGGCGATACAACCAACAACAACAAGGCTGTATCGACTACGGAAGTGAACTCCGCATGTATATCCAACGGCGCTGGCAATTTTTCAACTGTTATCAAAAACATGGACTTGGATACTTGGGTTGAATACTGCCCGTGATTGAGGTTTCACGCTTGGAGTTAACTTGGCATATATAATTGGGACTTGACATTGCATGTATAAGTAATACGACATGATATTTTCGGCAGCATCCATGATTTCCTCTTTGCATTATGTTTAAGCGCTGTGTATTTATTGATCCCAAAAGATGAGAAGAAATAAATTGGCAAATTTTTACCAAGTGCACGAAGACTACTCCATGCATATCGAAGAATTTCTGGTACATATTCGTCATTGTCAGCACTAGGTGCCTTACAAAGAAAACACTTCCCTCCGTATCTACCTAATTCATCATCACCCTCAAAATCACGCATTCGGCTTCTATTGCCTTCAATAGACGGCGACAAGACACAGGACCAGGGGAAAAACACCTTGCAAACTTAAAGAAGCAAAAGTAAAAAACGCATTGGTGAGAACTCAGCTCGCCCACGACGATTTATAAGCCCAATGTGAGCACATACTCCCGCGGTCGCCATTTTTTGCCTCAATTGAGGAGGCGCCACCCTTATAACAGACCCCGACATGATATGTGCTGTGCACAGCTGATGCTTATTCACTTTGACAAAGCAGCTTAATTCAAGCGCACCTGTCATAAGTTGGCTCTGGCTCTGACAGCAATGCCAGCCTAAATGACGCGTGCATCACAGCAACCACAACCAGCGCCATCGTCGGCGCAAAATTCTTGTCTTTCTAGCGTCTTTTTGAATATAGCCTATTAGACACTTGTGGCTGTGACTACTGCCGCTAGTGAAATGTCCAATTCCCTGATTCTTCCGTGTGCCCGGTTTGTTCTTGGCGTCGTGATGTGACGGGGAAATTGAGGGGCGGCTACTCCGTACTTAGGGCTAGGCTTTTTTACCCGGCAATACATAGTTCACTTCTTTTTGCTTTTTACGAGGTATTAGGCCTCGCTTATAGTAGCCGGCTTGGCTTAAGTTGTGAAATGTCCGAATAGATGTAAAATCGAATATAACATACAATGTAAGTAACAGAATTTGATCCTAGTCCATTGTATCGAGTATTTTGCCACCATCGATGGATATGTATAATTATAGATCATGTACTTCTTTGTACCCTTGGGGTAGAACAACGCAATTACTAATATGCTCTCAGCACCCTGACCTCGATGAGACATTCTAGAATTCTAGCGCAATTAGCGGGGTTAAGAAGAGGGGGCAGTTTCCTAAAGGCAATGCTGATCAGTTAAAAGGATGTTTTGTTGGATCTTGGCGGTCTGGGCATATGCATTATATGGAAAGGTGATGGTTTTGATCTGATTGGCCAGGTTTGAGAGTTCATCCAATGCTCGGTTACGCAGGAGTTCCTTTCGGGTTCATCCGGTAACTTTTTTCTCATTACACATGTTGCTTGGGGTACTGCTGGGGTATTTTTGCAGTATTTTTGGTGGTTTAATTACATACCGCGAGGTCAAAGCTGTTATTGAAATGTATTTTACATATCATCTGTCAGGTACCCAGGTAATTGTTCAGACCCCAAGTTTATTTTCCTCCAATCATATATTGAGAATGTGCTAGCATAGTTGATCTATCATAAATCCTAACGGGGGGCATTGGAATTGACCCATCGCCCTTGCATACCCCCTGGGGCTGAACTCACACATAGTGTGTTACTTACTTACCGAGATAGGTATGCTGTACGGAATACTATCTTTACCATATTGAACTTACGCAAAAAAGAAAAGAAGGTCAAACAGGACCGAATAGTCCAGAGTCTAGAGGCTCTTAAGATCAACAGTACAGAGTTACTCTGACCTAGTTTCGCATGAAAAAAAATTTGCATGTCTCACGGCCGATCTCGATACAAAGACCGGTGAACACGTGGACTTTGGGTCTCTCTGATCACCGATGCTCACTTCTGACTGAAATAGCACCTTTGTTTTTTTGTTTTCTTTGTTTTTTCCCTCTACTTTCCTGCTTTCCTTCTTTCCTGATTTTGGGCCCAATCCTTCTATAGCCACGTGGGATATACCCGTCTAGGTACCAGTAAGTAATAAACGAACCATGGTAGCTGGCCGCCTCGCGTGCCTGGGCCCAAAAAGCAAGGATCCATGGAACAAAAATGGCGCTAAGATCGACTGCCCGAGTGGCTCTCCCGGGGCAGATCCCCCCGTTCCTGGCCACACAGCGATAACTGGTTGGCTATATGTTCCCTCCACTTGTTTAAGTTAGTTCCTCCGTTCGGTACGGAGTATAACCTTGGAAATCTCTGCATTGTAACCCAGGGTTTCTCTAATGGAACCTAAGCCGAAGTGACAGGGTGTGTACGGAGTAGCTTCGGAGACTTTGATGTAATGATGCCGAGGTCATAGTAAGCGATAATCCGGGATTGGGCATTCTATGACCCATGCTTGACCGAGAGCATGAAGAACCTCCCGAGTTCCTCATTTGAAATTGTGGCTTTTTTTTGAAAGCCTGCATGACGAACATCATGCGAACCCAACTTCAAACCTTGAACCCTGGACGCGCGCGTAGAGAACATTATGCCATTTGTTCGGATTTAGATGTGCTCCCATACATATTCATCGCTGATCCGCCGATCGTGCAGCCAAAAAGCCATCCCGGAATCCTTCGGTTATTCTCGTAGCGCTGATCTTTGCAGTTATGCTGTTAGCGCATCCACTATTGACTTCGTATACTAGCGATCGACTAGTTTCACGTCCGTAACCAGTCAGATTTGCTTAGCCCAAGCTCCCATGGAGTCGGATCAGCGATGCACGGCAGGAAAGGATTTGCGATGTTCCTACTGTATTTGTCCTGTTCCCCCGGCGGCTAGCAGGAGGCAACCCGTAGCCAAGAGATATATCGAAAATCTTTCTTGCCGAAATACCCGGCCATGCCACGAGGTGGTGGCGGTAGCCACCGGCGGCCAATTCCAGGGGTATAACCGGATTTCCATACTCCAACCTGATAGTACAACATACGTATACAACATAAACCTCAATAACAAGGGTAAGCTGGGTAAGGTGGTATTCCAAATCTGCATCTTGCAGGCAAATTAACAGGGAAGGAACTGGCTTTTGAGGGGATGGAAGATGCATACAAAATCATCTTCGGGCGAAGCATGAATATTGCCCGCGACTGTAGCATTTCGTATTGCGCCGGCAACCAGATACGGGGGACGGATGAAAGGTTCATTGAAATTGCCTGCTGTCAGTCATCCTCTGTGTAACAACTTATTGCCCCCGCTAGTCCCTGGAATATGACTCCGTTGGCATGGAAGAGGTCGGGTTCGTAACTCGGCACAGCCGCAGTTGCACCACATTCAACCTACCTACATGCATACTCAGTACGGAGTACATCCTTCCCGTTCCAGTGCAGCGTTGTATCATAGAATCTGAGTTTGGACATATGTATAGCAATGGCACACGCCAATAGTAAGTGATACTAACCGAAGTATATGTTCATCTATGTTGTATGTCATGTGCTACATTACTTTGTACTGTTTCGGTCTTTGATCACTTTGTGCGTTCTCAGATTTGGAACATAGAACATACTTTAGCTGAGCACTTGGCTTAGTACTCCGTATAATAACTTCCAATGTTAGACTCTGTTTCGAAATGTTCCAGTTGAATATATCCTAATCCTAATCTTGAATCAAGGATGATATCCATCGCCAATTGAAACAGCGGCTGTGTCATATTCCCTGCCAAGAGAGTCGAACGCCAATCCTGCAGGGTTATTTTGGGCGTACGTCCGAGCATTCAGATGGCATTGGCTATGAACCTACAGGACGCTAGTCCTAGGTCTCATAGATCGATCGGATGGCCGGTAACCCGGAGACATTGCAAAGGAATACTAGTCGGGATCGAGACCCAGGAAAGGAAGGTGTTCAGTTTGTGCATTTCTATATCAACAGTGACGTTAAATCAAGTCAAGCCAGGTTGAGCCACGTTTAGCTTATACCTCGTATCTAGTGGACGCCCTACGACCCTACATAGCCCACTGGTTCCGGTTCTCAGTAGGTAGATATATTCATATGCTCCGCAAGCCAATACTTTTGCTTTGTCACATGTCTTAATTGTACTTTGTTAGTGGTCGGAATAGATGCGCTTTTGGGGTTTAGTGGTATCGGGGTAATTTTGTTCTTGGCATGCGAAAATACCCAAGAAAAAAAAACTCGGATGAAAATTACCACAATACACGTATTCTCCACATCTTGACCTAAAACGTCAGTAGCTCACTCGTTAACAAAGACGGGTTACAAGTTGAAACGATAGGAGGCGAAAGAGAGCAGGAAATTTTTTTTATTCTAGCGTAGTCTATACTGTGAAACATGAAAATTAGAAAGAACTAGAAGGTAGCTCGAAAATCAGCTCCTAGAATCATTAAACCAAATGAGTGAAAAAAATGCTAGCTATACTAAAAAAGAATATGCACATAATCGCTTGGCCCAATTTACCTCAAAAGCGCACATTATACTAAGGCAAGTCATCCGAAAACAGAAATTCAACCCCCTAGGCTGCCATCAGACCAACGAACTCGTCCCACTTGTCCCCAAAGGAGGCATAATAGTCTGTGCTGAGATGGGTGATGTACACTTCATCCGCAACCTGGCGCACATCCTTGATCAGGCCGCGAAGTTCCTTGCCCTCCACAGTATCAGGTACAGAGTGAACAATGGCGCATAGTTGGGTACGATCACTATTTGCGATATTGGTAAACAGCTGAGCGCCTTGCCGTTCCTGGAAAGTGGTATAGGCGGCCTCGAACACAACAGTTGAATCAGCAGTTGCCAGATATCTAGAATCAGGGACAGCGCCCGGATTATGGACAACCTAATAGTCTTCGTTAGTTCAATCGGCTTCGCCTATGTACTCCAGAAAGGGGAGCAAATTGTGATACAGCCTGGATTGGAATATGGGGTGTAGGGATATAGGTCAATAAAACCAGTGTGGCTCTCTCTCCAAGTGAACTTGGGAATAGTAAACCGAGGGAATTAAAAAAAAAAAGGTAAAATGATACAAGACAGGGGGTGTATGGTATGGAGCAATGAATAGTTGTAAAGTAAAAGCACAGGCTCGGAAGAATTGCAGAACTCACAAATTGATCAGGACCAAGACCCTCAATGTCCTTAACAAAGTCCGTCAACCCTTGCAGATAGGTCAAGACCTGAGGATCGTATTGCTGAGGAGTTTCATCGAAAAAGATTCCGCGAACCGCCAGATTGGGGTTCGAGGAATTAGTCGGCCAGTCGGCGTATGTTTGAATATCCTTGCGAACAGCCGAAACATCGCGCTTTCCGTATGAGGTATACACATACCCCAAAACACGCACGTTTTCATAAGCAGTGAGCTTGGGGATTTCACGGGTGTAATTGCCATCCGGCAGGGAGTCAGGCCCTGGGCCATTCCCTGGATTGATTACGACGGTAAAGTTGACATTTGGGTGTGCAGATATCCTGTGGCGTTCAGTGACTGTATTTTCTTTCTTTTTTTTTTCCTTTCTTTTAAGGCTATGTGATGATATTGTTTGGCGCCCGGACGGCGCGACACAATTATTGTGGCGGGCTACCGGCCGGAATGGAAAGCATTCGGGAAACTGGGGAAAGGAAAAATTGGAATGAAAAGGGTTAGACATACACTTTTTCCAGCGGAGCCCAAGCCTTAGGAGCAGGGTACACATAGAGTGGAACGAACACCTTCGATTTCGGACCCATGTTATCTTTTTTGCGGGTAGTAGTGACCACAACTGAGGGAACAACAGCAACAATAATCACAATAAGGACTGCAATTGCTAAGATGAAACGAGAACGCTTCGACTTAAGACATGCCCGCTTGCTCACGTGTTTTTCGGGGCCGGACATATTGGGGATTATAGGGAGGAAGTTGGAATGAAGAGAGTGGGTTCGCGAATACTATCGGTTACATATGGGCATGAATTTTTCAACCAACGGTGGCCAACTAGGAAAAAAAACGAGATGGGAACAAGTTGCTGGTTGACACGACCTAAGCCTTAGTGTCCCTACGACCAAAAATGGATATGGGGGCGCTCGACCCCATATGCAGAAAAGGTCTTGGGTGAGGCGTCAAAAAAAATAGAAAGAAAACATTTAAAAAGAAAAATATATATGATTATATATTATATGTATACAATATATACATAAAGATAAAGAAAAAAATATATTATTATTTGGATCAACTAGCCCCAGCTGAGATCCTGACGTACAGGTGGAGAGGGCACTTAGGGCATTTTGATGTACAGAATGATATCCCAAGGCCCAGCCGCATGTCTGGCCCACCTAGGGGCATTCTGCCCGATGGTTCTGTCCCAGGTTGTTGTGCCTACCCCCCTTATTACGCTCTCTTTGTGCTTTTTTTTATTCTGCTTATGCTTGTTCTTTTTGTTTCTTCTATTTTTGCCGGGGGACTGTGCTGAATCCTTATTCGCCAAGGAAGGATGGCACAATAGATGAACTCAAACGGAGAATCCGAGTGAGGCAACGCAGGTACCTCGCTTGTATTGTATAAAACCTTGGTTAAGGGCCCACCGGAGAATCAGGATATCTCAGTCTTCATCATATAATATCATATATAACATTTTCTCTCTTTGCACTGGTAGCATCTGTTACTTGGCATTCATCATTAACTTCTCGCCATGGCTGAGCCAACCTCAATTTCCACTTCGAGATCGGACACTCCCCAAAGGTCCGATGCCAGCAGTCCTGTGCAATCCCCCATCTCTCTGGACACACCCAGGACAGAGGATGGAGACCCATTCGACAATCTCAATGACCTGTTGCGCAGACTCCCTTCACAAAGCCATATTCTTGTCACCGGTGGCCTCGGCTTCATTGGAAGTCACACCACGCTTGAGTTGCTCAAGGCAAACTATAACGTTATTGTGATCGACAATCTCAGCAATGCATTCGAGGATGTCTTCAACCGTATCGGCCGCTTGGCCAGAAAGCATCACGAGGAGAATGGCACCAAGATGCCATCTATGAGATTGCATGCATACGATTATCGTGATACCAAAGCTCTTCAGCCGCTGCTTGAGGAGTACCAGCTTCCATCCCGGTGGGGAACCCCCAAGTCGAGAATCGCTGGAGTCATCCACTTCGCAGCTTATAAAGCCGTCGAGGAGAGCATTCGGAAGCCACTGAAGTATTACTCCAACAATGTCAGCGGCCTTATCGACTTTGCCACAACACTTGGAGACTTTGGCATCAAGACCTTTATCTTCTCGTCGTCTGCCACTGTATATGGAACCCTCGCAACCTCGGGTCTTCCATTGAAGGAGGAACTCTGTGTTCACAAGGAAGAGGTGTACACAGATCACGCAGGCTCACAACAATCCATGCAACCAGGATGCACTGGCATCACTAACCCATACGGACGCACCAAATGGATGTGTGAAACCATCCTGGCCGACTTGGCCGTATCAGACCCCGAATGGACCATTGTTGCACTCCGCTATTTCAACCCCGTTGGCTGTGATTCTTCCGGTCTTTTGGGCGAAGACCCAAGACAGGCTCCAACAAACCTGCTTCCCGTCGTTGTCAAAGTCATGACCGGCCAATATTCCGAACTTTCGATGTTTGGGACAGATTGGGAAACCGAGGATGGCACTGCCGTCCGCGACTTCATCCACGTTAGCGATCTGGCTCGTGGGCATATCGCCGCGCTCAGTTCGGCCAACGAGGGCAAGCTGGTAGAGAACTTCCGTACATTCAACCTCGGAACTGGAAAGGGAAATTCCGTGATGGATGTGGTCACCACTATGGAGTCTGTTATTGAGAAGCCCATTCCTCGACGTGCTGCGCCACGTCGTGAAGGTGATGTTGGAGCCTGCGTTGCAGTCGTCGACCGGTCAACGGAGGAGCTTCAATGGAAGACAGAAAAGAGCCTGAAGGATGCATGCCAGGACATCTGCAACTTCTTGGATGTCAGTGGTCTGTCTTCATAGCCCGGTCCTCATTGTTGGTCTGATATGAGAGCTATGTTTTGTTTTGCTTTTCTTACCTGTTCCTAATATACCTGTCCACCGGAACAATGGCCCTTTGGAGGCATATGTTTCAGTATAATGATTGTCGATTTTCTGTTTTACTTAGCATGTTGATTAGAATCGCATCACTCGCGAGCATTCTCGGTCCCTTGTGACATTTTACCCCTTGTGTGTACGAGTCATTTATATACGTCGATTTCTCGTTATATTGAATGGACAAAAAGTCCCATTTTATCCTGAGAATTTGCAGCAAGTACTCTCAATGAACACTAGTAATCGAGAACTAATCCATGGATGTTTGTTGGCTGGATATGGTGCAAATATGTATCATATCACGTGATAAACCGTCCATGACTGGTTTGGATACCAACATTTGGACAATAAGTTTTTGAGAGTAATGGTAGTATGTTTAGGATATTCGTATTCGAAGTGTTTATTGTACGAATAGTCCAGAGCCATCAATGCCACAGGAAATGAAGTTGTCATACCCCACTGACCATATTTGTTGGCATATCACGTGACTGATCTCCGTCTTGGCATCAAATATGGCCGCAGTTTTCTGCGACAGCTCCGTCTGCGCGTGTCTAATTGCATCTTCAACGCAATTGGGATTCCTTGTCGTCCAGGACCTTCCGTCGAACATCTTGATATCGTCCTAGTCTCTTCTCCGTCTTTCTCTAATTTATCCCGTCATAATGATCTGCAAAAGCTGCCGCACGACGATGCTGTCCCGATTCAACCAGCAGCCAGTGATCCGGACGGCTTCAGCATGCGCGCGCCAGCTGCCTCTGGTTCGCAGTCAATTCCGCTCATACAGCAGTGATAACAACCCTTCCGTGGCTGCTACTCCTTCCCCGCCCTCCCCCCGTCAACCCACAGTCGGCGACCTCACAACCCCGTCCGCCATCTCCTCCGCTACTCCCGGTGTTTCTCAGCCTTTGAGCACCCCCGAAGGTGTCCACACCGATGTTAACCCTGGAGCTCCCACAAAACCCACTGCCGTGCGCCCACCGAGCAGCTGCCCGGCCGGAACCAAACTGAACGGACTCAACTACTTCAAGAACAAGCCTGATGTCTTCGCCAAGGAGGATTCCGAGTACCCAGATTGGCTATGGAACCTCTTGGGAGATGCCAAGAAGGATGCAAAGTCTAAGCAGGGCGGTGTTGACCCAAGCAGTAAGATACCCCGCGGACTTTTTATTCCCCATTCATAAAATGCTTACCATGTACAGCCTTGAACAAGAAGCAACGAAAGCGTTACGAGAAGAAGCTGGCCGCTCGTAATGGTCCTCTTGCTGCTACGATCCCCGCTCACCACCACGCTCACGATATCACCCCCGCACCCTACAACCGCGACGCACCTTCAACGGATGTCATGGCCGATGCTACCAGCGGCTTTGAGCAGCGCTCGGAGATCATCAAGAGTGCACGCGATGCTAGACGAAAGGCCATCAAGGAGTCCAACTTCCTACGCGGCCTGTAAACTTGTTCCATGTCAATTCGAGTGGAACACATGAAAGCGATTGTACTTTTCTTGTTGGGGTTGTGTCGCAGGCGCCTAGAAACGCCTCGATATTGCATTGAATATTGGATAGACCGGGCCCTTCGGGGCGCCCCGGATGTATTATTACATTGATTTGTTTTTTCGATTGTGCTATATATCAAATGATACTTGTCTCAGATCTAAGCTCGCCGCAAAATATCCCAAACACCCCACCTCTATCGCTGAGAAAGTCGAGGTATATGATTTACTGGGGAATCGGCCACTCCCGTTCCTCCCCCTGCCCTTCAAGCCAGGGCAAACAAGCCTCATACAGCGATTTGAATTCCCCATTCCCGAGAGCAAGGATCTTCTCAAAGGTATCCGGGTCAAAGCGCTGGAACCAAGCCAGAACCCCAGCGAGAATCATATCCGCATAGCCAGCCTTCTCACCCTCAAAAAATGGCCCCTTCTTCCCATCCCTACCCTTTAGCATCTTAATCAGCGTCTCCGACTCCTTCTCGACAAGCTGCCACAACGCAAGCAACTCTGCCTCATCTGTCGGCCTGACCTCGGAAAGTGGCTTCCCGAAAGCCGCAGAGCGAGTCCGGATAAAGTACTCCCGTCCACGCTCATCTAGTTTATATGGAACGTTGGGAATAATCAGCGCCCTCGTACTCGGTGAGAGCAGGCTCAATAGCTTCTGCACGGCAACCATCAGCGAGTAGCTTGCGTCGCCGGAAGGAAAGAGCGGGGGCGACGGGTACAGCTTGTCGAGGTACATGGCGATCGGCTCAGAGTCCATGAGCACGCCTTCTGGGTTGCTCGTTATTGACCCCTTGTGGCTGATTGCCGGTAGCGTGTAAGGTATCGTTGACGATGACTTGCCCGGTGGGATGCCATGAGCCTTGAGTAAAGGTGCAATATCAGGGTACGATACCCAGCTTTGGGTGTAGGGGATGCCCTTGAAGTTAAGGATCATTCTGGTCCGGAGAGTATTGGGAGACCATGACTTCGCAGTGCCTGGTTGAGTTAGTTCCTTTGCCCTGGAGTCATCTAAGGGTCTGATCCATACCAGGTATCTCTGATAGGATATCGAAGAAATGAATCTTGGACTCAGTCATTGTGCAATATATGTAGTTTGTATATCTGTGTTAAGGTCGAAGTTGAAATAACTAAATTGTTGATCTCCTGATGTAGTTCTCCTTTATAAACAAACGGGAGCGGGGCTCTGATTTATCAGCTGGAATTTTAGTGCCTTAGAAGTCTCCGACAGGGAAGAATATAAAAGATTGCTGATCAAGCTTGAGGCTGTGAGGTTTCACGATTTTCGCTAATAGTCGAAAGTTACACCTCATATACCCACCATGATATATGCACAGAGGCGCCACGTTGGCAGTGGGGAGTTGGACGCACGGGTCACATTAGGATTTTCTTCTCACATTGCATATTATTGTCATCTCTACATCCATGCTATGATCTATTATTCGATATAAATCCAGAAAACAGATACTTGACATAGCCCCTGAAACAAGCGGGGCATCCTTTGTCAATAAACCTACCCCTCCAGTTATCACCCAACATCAATAAGGTTGGATCTCCTATACGCCATCCTCACTACCAGAAATAGCCTACTAACAATAGATCAGTGCAAAATGGAGAAAGTCGAAGCTCTCGTGGATCGTGCTAAACAACTAGCATTCCACGAGCCACCCAATACATCGACATATACCGTGGACAAATTCCACCCATCCTTAGATGATCATATCCAGAGAATTCACAAGTCTGTTGATACATATGCCCCAACCACAAGGTATTTTCTCGAGGAAATGCAACATGACACTATCGTTGCAAATTCCTCCGAGCCAGTCGCCGACGTTTTGGCTTCTCTGGATGCCTTTCGTACCTACATGAAGGACGCGAACTCGTGTGCGATGGGACCTGAAGAGGCCTTGGATCTTTCAGCGCCTATCTCAGACTACTTTATATCGTCGAGCCACAACACTTATTTGACGGGGAATCAACTGTACAGCGACGCTGCTGCTAGTGCATATACATCTGTGAGTTGATGCTTTGCAAAATAGTCCTACCAGTTATGCAGCATGGACGTTATGACCTGCTAGGACCCTAGATTGAAGATTTACTTATCCTCCAACAGGTCCTTCTCCGCGGCTGCAGATCCGTCGAGATTGATGTCTGGGATGGGGAATTGGACACCCCAAACTCAAGCGACAGCGAGACAAGCAGCAGTGATTCGGAAACGGAAGAAGGGAGAAGTATTGGGGGGAAGTTGAAAGACAAGACGAAGACTGGGAAGAGTGGAGAGGAAAAGCCCACGAAAGAAAAAAAGAATCAGTCGCGTCCAAATTGGAAGCTAAACTCAACGGCGTTCTTCGTCGCAAATCCGTCAAGTCGCCCCAGCGACCAGTGGATGAAGAGACTGCGACGAGCCACATGCCTGTTCCGGTTGAACCTCGTGTTCTGCATGGTCATACCCTTACCAAAGGAACTACATTTCGTGAAATCTGCCACGCAATCCGTGAAAGTGCATTTGTTGCCAGTGATCTTCCACTGGTCATTAGTCTCGAGGTGCACGCGTCTCTTGAGCAGCAACAGACGATGGTTGATATCATGTTGGAGACGTGGAAAGGATTGCTCGTGGAAGCTCCTCCGGATGACGGGAAGCTCCCCTCGCTAGCTGAGTTGAAAAGAAAGATCTTGATTAAGAGCAAATGTGTTCCACGAACCGGCGAGGACGAGAAAACTGAAGGAGAAGCTCTGACACCGCAGAAATCTGATGATACATCCTCGGGCCAACAGTCAACAAAGCCATCAAAGATTCTCGAAGCTCTAGCCAACATGGCTGTTTATACTCGCGCATACCATTTCAAACATTTTGACCAACCAGGTATGCGTTGTCATTTTAGATATGATCATAGAGGCGATGCTAATGTGATCAACAGAGGCCAAAACTCCTCACCATGTGTTCTCGCTCTCCGAGAAAGCAGCGCGAGAAGCTCATATCGATTATCGGGATGCTTTGTTCGAGCACAACCGAAAGGCTCTGATGCGTATCTACCCGTACGCATTCCGAGTCACCTCGTCGAACTTTGATCCAACATTCTACTGGCGACGTGGCGCTCAACTAGTAGCATTGAACTGGCAGAACCTAGATAAAGGCATGATGCTCAACCACGGAATGTTTGCCGGAACCCACGGTTGGCGACTGAAGCCCTCCGGCTACCGAAGCAGTCATTCTCCGACAGCTGTTATCGAGCGCCGCAGCTTAACGCTCTCAATCGAGATATTCGCCGCGCAAGATCTCTCTCTACCGCCCGGTGACCACAGCGAGAAGGGGTTCAAACCGTATGTGAACTGCCAGCTGCATGTCGAAGAACCGGAAGGTGATGTCTCCCCGGATAAGGACGATGCCAGCTCCGACACCGAAAAGAGTAGCTACAAGCGGTGCACGAAGAGTTCTTCGGGTCGGAACCCGGATTTCCACCGCCAGAAGTTGCAGTTCCCGACCGTGACGGGGATAATTGAGGAGTTGAGCTTCCTACGGTCAGTATTCTCGATTCCCTTCCTTACTTACATCGATGAATCGAGTAATTTATCTCGTGATTTGCCCTCGCCCTTGCTCTGCAATATTTCCCCTTGCTGCGCTTCTACCTCCCATCGCATGAACTGGTTTTCGAGTATGCAGGCATAGACCTTGCATTGTGATACCCGTTAAAGAACGTATGCAGTTGCCCGCATCACATGAACATGACGATTGGGCTTAATATTTGCTTCTTCCGGGCTTTGCGCCTTGGTAACACGATGCATCGTCTGGGCTGTGGCTTTTCTCGGAATCACCTCCACTATCATGCACACTACCCTATAATGCGTTTTGCCTTCGAAGATGCAAGTACTATGCACTCTGTACGAACAAGCCACTGACTCGATCCTGCTTTCTTTTTTCTTAGGTTCAAGATCAAGGACGATGAGATCGGTCGGGATCCCTTGGCTGCGTGGGCTTGCATCCGACTTGATCGGCTGCGGGAGGGCTACCGCCTGGTCCATCTCCATGACTGCGCTGGCGAACAGACCGGAGGTATCTTGCTGGTTAATATTGTGAAGCAGTTTACTTAACTAGCCCGAAGATGCTGTCACCGAACTGTGTGAATTGGTCTTTCAAATCGTTAGTAGTATGACTATAACATAGGGCATGTGACAAATTGTGATATTTTACCAGAAAAATGCCAGTCAAAGAGACACAGAGCTAGGGCCGCTGTTCGTCTTTGGGCAGGGTTTGGGCAGCATGTCGTACAGCCTACTTCCATATTAGGAGCACCAGGAACAAAAAGGTTGCAGGAAAGCACCCCGATATCTGGCAAATGTGACGAGTCCTTCAGCATGTGTATCACAAACTCATTTCTACGTAGCCAAAAGCGACCGGCTACAGATTAGCGATCGTGATTGTGAGATACAATCGTGTAAGTCAGCATGCATATCTGATTCGAGGGCATTGTACGGAAATAACGGTACTTCGACATTTGGGTTTTTCGACTCTTTGGGGCTGCATTATGCAAAGTCCTGGCCGCAATGGTTTCGTAGGCGAAAAGCAGTCACTATAAACAACCCGCTAGTCCATGCCCTTGCAATTTCTCGTTGAGGGTGTCAGAAGAAAGGCAAAGGGACCGAGCTTAGAGTGGGCCTTGTTTTAGCTAGGCGGCTCCATGAGAATCTGAAGTAGGTGCATATGTATGTAGGTCCCTCCTCCGTGCCGTATGTAGTGACGTGCTGGTGCCATGTATTACTTTAGAGAGAATTATTATTAGTCGCATGATATGCATTGTACCGATGCCGCGTAGAAGTATAATGGAAGAGAGTCCAATATGTTAGTTTCCAGATATGCACATCGCATTCTGTGTCTTAGGTGATATCTGAATAGCCCTCGCTTTGACTTTGCTAGGTCAGATGTGTGAGTACTAACCTAGGGTACTTCGTATTGCCATCAACTGACATATTCTGAGACCTTGAAGAGAGAGAAAAAAGTAGCGGTGACAGATCAAACTGGCCACAACGGGCGCAACGGTGTTGAACAAAGAGGATTGTTCGTAAGTCATGTGTAAAAACGTGGGGTAGTAGTCCAACCTTGGGAGTTCGACACACTTCAGCCTACATACAGATGGTACGTAGGTGAACAGAAAAATCTCGCATGCTGCGAGCCATAACTACAATCGTGGGGATCATATCATGAAGAGGAAGATCGGGGAGGCCGAGAGGAGGTAGAGCCTGAACCCACCACGAGATCACCTTGGAAGGCCTAACATCAAGAGCGATCAACGTGCCAAGCGATATGCATCAGATTTCAGATTGATCAACATAGCTAGTGGGGACTAACAGATAAGTCAAGCTGACCGGTAAATCCCCCGATAAAGTTGCCAAAGATTATCACACGTTAAACAATCGCAATACAAACCCCTCGTCCTCCACATTCACATTCTCAGGGCCTCTAACAGAATAGATGGTGAAGCCAAGGACAAAACACGATGTGTTTCTTCAGATGCACATGCACTGATGCACATGTACTCCGTACTTCGTGGATATTTGTCATTTGACATATCCTGGTGGAGGGGTTCATGCGTCACGTCTGTGAAATTTGCATGCATATCAAGGTGATAAAATGGCTTAGGACAAACGGGCCACAGCGATATAGCCAATGATCGGGACTGATCGTCTTTTCATAAATGGAGAGACCCGTGTCGAATACCGCCAGCGAATCACAGCACTAGTAAGTCCGAAGGTGGCCGAGCGCTGGACCCATCTTGGATCTGCCATGGAGTTCCGGGGTTGATACATCAACTGTTAAATGTGCTGAGCGCTGCAATCGTAGCCCCTTTTCCTTTGAAGTATCGGTGAATTGATGCAAGTTACCGAAGCACACTAAATACATTTCTTTGTCTGATCCCCTTGAATTGCTGATCCTTTGGTCTTTTACGAAGCAAACATCAAGACCTATAAGGCTCGGAGTTCTCGGGAGGTACCGAGGACACCGTTGTGATTGGCTTAGTGGACCAGTGGCGTAAGACAGAATAGTGATGACTCTGTTTTTTTTTGGCTCCTTTTTTTTGGCTTTGATACCTGTGCAGCTAAGCCAAGCCGTCAGGAGGAGCATTCATCTACTGTCAGTGGTTGATCATTGAGGGAAACAAAGAAGAATGACCGAGCTGAGCGGGTACTACCGAGACTCCTAGTTATTCTGCTATTATTTTGCTTATTATTTTGAGATTAATTTTGAGATTACAATCCTTTTTTTTATTTTTATTGTTTTATTTCTTTTATTTCCTTTAATTCCTTTCTTTACCTCTGATTAGCCAGTGGAAACTAGATCTATTCTTCTCTTTTGGTTTTTTTCCCCTTGCTTTCCTTGCTTTCCTACGCTCTATAAGAACCGTCCTCGTCCTAATTTCCATAGCCTTGTCTTCAGACTTCAACCTAAGAGAAAATCTAAATCACACTATCCTCGGGCTCAGGCAAAGAACTCTATTCATATCCCTTCTTTACATTCTTTCTTGACCAACATACCTACCAAAATACCATGGCTGCCTCTTCCGAATGCACCGTGCCTGTGTGCTCGAACTCCACTTCCGACACCAAGGTTCGTACTCCTATGCTGCATCATCGGTCCGATACTTCCAGTACTTTTTCAAAGACATACTAACTGTTCCACAGATGCCTGGTGTGCGATGCCCCAATTGCCAAGCGCAGGGGAAAGAAGTTTGGGTTATCCCAGGCAAAAACTGTCACATCTGTCACACACCTTGTGCGTGATAGGCTCGAGGTCCTGCATATCACTCATGAGGAAAGAGACTGTATATGTGTCAATACTTTCCGGATATGAGCTGATTCCTTCATGTCACCTTCATGTCATAACCTCTCCCAATCATATGGAAAAGACTCACTCTTGAATTTCAAGAACGAGTTCAACACGTCCGAACACACAAAAAGCCCGCGGACATCTTGGAGATTGACACCCCACGCTTGTTCGTCACCGGGTAGACCTTGGGCAAAGGATGCAATGGGTTCCTACCGTGGTGTATCTATTTCTCTTTTCTTTTTAGCGTTTTTGATCATGAGATATGATATCTTTGCTTTCCTTCACCAGTGGATGTAGTGTCAACAAATATTATCGGGTACTATCTTTACAATCGGGCCGAGTCCGTCAACACTTTATCAGATCGTCTAGAAGTACCACCAACGTTAAAGTGGGCTTCAGGTACTTTTGTCCTGCATATGCTCGTGGACAATTATGTACTTTGTAGTAGAGAATGGCCCCACGTGATACATCAAAAGTTGCTAGATTGTATGACATCATTTACCCATATCTAGAACTAATATACAGAGTGTATGCGCCCCATATACATACGCAAATATAGCTACGATACGCATTGGGCTTCCTCTGATGCGTAGGGCTTTCTGACCTGACCCAAAGCTGTGTTATTGTCGTATTCGAACTAAAGCAATTGCATAATAGCTAATACTTAGTCCCTAGTTAGCGAATAGGTACTTGGTAAACCACTACTTATGTAGGTAGGTACCGAAACAGATATGAAGATATGCATCGATCTAACTATTATTTTTATGATATGTTAGTTACTATCTCTATGTTTTAGGGCAGGATATCAAAGTAACTGTATAAAAAATACATATTGGTAAATAAGAGAGTTGAAAAGTGCGCAAGTAGTATATCCCTGTATGTATAACAGAATATGTCAACCCATACAAGCACAAGTGACTCGTTTCTCTTCCTCAAATCAAAGAGAGCAAGTCATGTCCTCCAGTCTGATTTAAAATTATCCTCATGTCCTTACGAATCCAGGTCAAAACTAGCTCAGCAAAACTATACCTCACTTTTTGTAAAGCGGCAAGAGATAAGCCCCAAAACAGAAAGGGGAAGGTTCCGAGTGACTAAGGTTGACATTTATCCGGTAGATACGCATGCGTCAGCCTCCAGCTTCTATTAGTATATTTCATTGCATCCACAAGAAAGTGACACTGAAAATCCTCAGACAAGCCGCCATGACGGAAAAGTATCCCACCGGCACACGCGCCGAAAGCGAGAGTCTCGTCCGCAAGTGGGGATTTAGACATATCTTCACTTGGACAGATGGAAGGTACGTATATGAATGTATTTCCTAGACTTGATACACCCAAAATTCGAAATTGGACTGCATTGCTGCCAACAAATTGGTCTTCCTTTCGTCCGGTGCGTGTTGATGCTGACTTCGCCCATTAGCAACTACCATTATTCCCCGCACTCGCATAGTGCTCTGACAACACACCTTATCCGCCGTGGAACCCTGACAATCACTTACCCTGAGGATAATGCTAAATTGCATAATGGGGAAGTTAAAAAGGAGACGTTTGGAGTGGGAGAGAGGATTGATGTTCCTGCTGGAAAGGTCCATGAGGTCTGGATTGGGGGTGAGGGGTGTGAGTATGTGATTGGAGAGTAGAAAGAATGCAAACTTTGTCTTTAAATCAATATATCGATGGATTTTTATTGCTTTGGGAATGTTCGTTAACGAATGTTTTGATGACATTTCTGCCGAATGAGCTCAGCTCATTGTTTTGTTCTATTTGATGTTTTAGAGTCTCGCTAATGTCTCTATAATCAAATTCTACATGTGCCAGACAATGTAGTCGTGCCTCTAGTGCAAAAATCGGAAGTCAATTCTGTGGCGCAGTCATTAGCATCCGGTTGCGCAGCGAAAGACAAATGCTAGACATACCTCTTGTTTCCAAGATCTTTGTTTTCAACAACATATCGTGACCGCTCTTCACTGGACATCTTATCCCAGATAGCGGCATTTTGTCTAGAAGCAGATATCAGCAAAAGAAACTCGACCAATCAGAGTGCACAGTTCAACATACTTGTTACGTCTCACGTAGTAAATCTTGGCAATGATGAATATCGTCATACTCCACACTGCAAGACCTATAAGGACCTTATTACCAGTGTGGTAGAACGGCTTGTCTTCGGTGCGATAGACCTAGACATGATGGTTAGGTCTGATAACTTGGGCACACAAAGAAACCGGAACAAGGACTCACGTTGTTACCAATGATGTTACTAGCCTGCACCGCCATATTGTAGACAGCTGTAGCAACCGTCCGCGTCCTCACAGAGCCTGCATTACGTGATGTAATTGCAACAATAATAGCGTGCACGTAAGGCATGCCAATTAACAGGACTAGCAGAGCCCAACGCACCCAAGGACTAGCTTTCTCAGAAACAGTCTCCAACGCGATCAACAGGATCAAAGCCCAAAGTTCAGCACCGACACCAAGCAGTAGTCGCTGATTAAACCGTTCAGATATCCAAGTCCACAATAGCAGATTGAGGATGAAGATCACATAGGCCGGGATAGTGAGCATATTGGTGTTGAAAGTACTGAAGCCGAGCGACTTCAGTTCCAGACTAATGTACGACGTAGCCGGTGTACTGGGAACCAGCCAAGTCAGGCCGAGCAGGTAAATGATCCACATGTCGTAGTCCATTAGGGCCTCCCATAGCAGTTTGGGAGTAACGGCCTGACGATTGTGCATGGTTCCCTTGCTCGGGTCATCGCGTAGCACACGGTTAACCATAATTTTCTCTTCCTGCTCATTGAACCAGCCATTCTTACCGCGGAACCAGCCCGCAGTTTGCGTTGGCGAGGCTGGCATCCACATTGCAGCGGCGATACCAATCAAACCAGTAATCAAACCCTCCAGGGCAAACAGGTATCGCCAGCCACCGGTGCCATCTGACTGGCGAATGTGGAGGAAGCCAAAGGCAAGGAAAGCGCTTACAATTGCGGTCGCTTCATATGTCATCCAGAAGTAGCTGAGTCTGATAGGCAATTCCTTGGACGTGTACCAGAACGATAGGAAAAGGATGGTGTCGGGAATGAAGCCGCCCTCGAGCAAACCGAGCATAGCGCGGGTCGCGAAGAATCCGCTCCTGTCCTTGATAAATGCCTGGCACGAAGCAATGATGCTCCAGCTTACCATTTGTACAGGAATCCAGCGATCGGGGCCGACCCATTTTGATATAAGCTGAGAGGGCAACTCAGCAAAGAGAAAGGTTAAGTAAAATATTGTTTGGCCAGTGTTGTAGTCGTTCGTGGTCATGCCAAGATCATCCAGCATGTTATCCGATGTGGCTTGGACAATGTTTCCACGGTCTAGCTGGAGTGCAAAAAATGTCATACAAGCAAATGTGCAAACGCGCCAGTCAATCTGTGGAACAAGTTAGTCACTCCTAAAGCAATACATGGTAGCTTCAGTAACTCATACCTTTCTGATCACGGCTTTCTCTTCTTGCTCTGTCCACTCAAACTCCGGGTCCCAGCGATGGGCACCTTCATATTCAGGAATGGGCTTATAAAACCGTGGGTCCTCAGTAGTATCGAAAGCACATTCGGTCTGCTTAGCACGAGGTCCCTCGAACGCTACCGAAGACGAAGACAAAGACTCTGCAGATGAGACTGTAGGAGAAGCCTTAGAGTCAAGGCCCTCGGCATCGGAGGCCGTTTTTTGGGCTTCTTCAACCGTCATCTCGCAGTGACTGGGATTAAAAATCTGATAATGAATTGTAGAGGAGAAGCATTGGGTTGGATGGGCATTAACTCATATAAGGACAGCAAGACGACATTGACGTTTACTTATCACGCCATATTTAGCAGATATATGGCTTTGGCCTCTACACGTGTGGGCCAAGCAGGCAAAGGTCAAAAAACCTTGATAACGAAATGCTGTGGAACTGTTATTATATGCATGGGCAATTTCGATGCCTGATTGCCACCTATTAGGGTACAAATGGTGTACAATATAGCTGACTAGTTTGACTTGAGGAGGCCTCGATTCGAAGGTGGAAACGCCCTCTGCGGGATCGTGGATATTGTAGATCAGAATATATCCAGATAGAAAAGATTTGATTCAATTAGATATCAGTATTTGAAAAGAGACGACGAGCCGATGGATGTGGTCCAGTTGGATGTTGGCTTGGCTGAATCACGCAAGTGCAGTAGGAGTGACGTTAGAGTCGACGAGTCAATGGAGCTAAATCAAGCAGGGGTGATTTAGACTCCAGTTTAAGATCTACAGAGTAATAGACGAAGTATAAATTGTATGGAGTATATATAATTTAGGCTACCAACTACGTGGAGTATCTCTTGTACCCCTTAGTATTCTAACATTTCCCCATTAACAATTGTTAAGTTATTAGACACGGAGCATTTGAATAGTAGAATCATGTAAGCCAAAAGAATTGTGCGAAAATATGTTTGCGCTAGGGGAGTTTTCTATCACGCCATAGTGGATTGGACTATCGTGTATCTCGTCCATAGCCTACGGAATAACTATGTACTTTGTACTTTGTACTTTACTCTTTGAATCAAATCACGGGGATTTTAAGTGGACAGCATATTCATTTATCACGTCATTCTCATTCAAAATAGCATGACCTCGGAAAGGGACAATGCTTATATTATCATATATGTACGGAGTATACGCATTATACTATACCTTCCTCAACCCCGCTGGCCCGTCGGCTCGCTCGCGATGATCACGGAAAGTTGATATGCTTCATGTAACATTGATTTATTGTCATCCCGCAAATACCGCAAACCCCCGCAATAATGTCGCAATTCGTGTCGGTTTGAACATGCCGAAACGGTTATATATTGGATGTGTTAACCCTCCATACGGGGAAAGAACCTGAGAAAACATATCTGGTCACAGGGGCAATATACACACACATATACTCTCTTTCTCTCTCTAAAACTCATTCCTTAATATGGCTCCATCCCTCACTGAGACAGTGGCCCTACGGGCTCCGCCTGTTTCGCTTCCGCTGAAGTCGGACGGTGGCCACAACAAGGAGAACTTGATTGGATACAAGTGTGAAAAGGAGCTTGAGATCAAGGGCACAGACAAGCTACCTCCCGTATCCTTTCCAGAATATCTGCCCGTTTGGGATAACGAGACAGAAAGGTATGTCTATACGCCAGACCTAATGCGTGAACATCATGTCTAAAATACGTCCAGGTATCCTCCTCTGGAGCCCTTTGAGCACTATGACCATGGAAAAGATGCCGACGCCTCTTTCCCAGACCTGCTACCCGAGGGCCAAGTCAAGATTGACCAGCTCACTCCCTTCATTGGCTCTGAGATCCACGGTGTGCAGCTAAGCCAACTCTCCGACAAGGGCAAGGATCAATTGGCCCTCTATGTTGCACAGCGACGGGTCGTCGGTAAGTGACCGGAGTCATTTCTTCGATCTTCACCCCTCTTTTAAGCACCAGTCTAACTAATCCAAACAGCCTTCCGCGACCAAGACTTCGCATCCCTCCCGATTCAAAAGGCTGTTGACTATGCCGGCTACTTTGGCCGACACCACATCCACCAGACCTCGGGAGCCCCCAAGGGCTTCCCAGAAATCCACCTTGTCTTCCGCGGTGCTGACGACCGCACTGGCGACGAATTCCTGAAGCAGCGCACCAATACTATTACATGGCACTCGGATGTCACTTTCGAGAAGCAGCCCCCCGGCACGACTTTTTTGTATGCTCTCGACGGCCCCACCACAGGTGGTGACACTCTCTTCGCCGACATGGTCCAGGCATATAAGCGCCTGTCGCCTGGGTTCCGGGAAAGACTCCACGGATTGAAAGCCGTACACTCCGGCCTCGAGCAAATCAATGCTAGTTTGAATGGCGGTGGCATTGCCCGCCGTGATCCTGTGACATCAGAGCACCCCATTGTCCGAACTCACCCGGTAACTGGCGAGAAGGCACTTTACGTGAACCCTCAGTGTAAGTTTGATTCAACGCATTTGGAGAAGGATTTGGAAAGCTGATATGTCTTGTTCTTGTTGCATAGTCACCCGTTACATTGTTGGATACAAGAAAGAGGAATCGGACCACCTGCTCAAGTTCCTGTACGACCACATCGCCTTGTCGCAGGATCTTCAGGCTCGTATTCGCTGGAAGGCTGGTACCGTCGTTGTTTGGGATGTAAGTTATAGCACCAACTTATTGTTTCTTCAATATGAGAAGAGACGCTGACTTTCACAGAACCGTGTGGCATGCCACTCTGCTGTTTTCGACTGGGAAGATGGCCAGCGCCGCCACATCGCTCGTCTCACACCCCAGGCTGAGCCTCCCTTTGAGACGCCCTTTGAGGGTTAGATAGGGCTCTGGAAGCCTTCAGAATTATAATAACGCATAGCTGTGATAATATCAAAAACCAAATTGAGAAAAAAAAGAATAAGAATGGATCATTCAATTCTCTTTCTTACAATATCATCTGCTGCATACACGTCGTAGCCCTTCTTTGTATCATACAAACCCAACAACTCAAGTTTTCTGGCGCCTGAAACGACTCAAAAGCCCAACGTGCCACTCGTTAAACCTCCTAGCAGAGAGCGGTAGCATCTTGTTGCTCCTAGTCAATGCTTGTGACATTGCTTCGAATATCATAGACGGCAACTCCAACTCTTCCACCGACAAGGGCGAAGGATTCCCAATTTCCGGATGGAGAAGCTCATCCACATCGAGAGAATTTTGATAGAATACTTTCATCGCTTGCTGAGCCATGATACTACAGCCTGCGCTAGAATTCGAGTATCGCATGTCTGGATTGAAGACCCAAAGCTAGCAAGTAAAATATTCGTTAGCGGGTGTCACATGTAAATTTGATTTCCCAAAATGCCTCAAATTCAAACGCAAGTAGAGTTAAATGGAATGCCACCTACCACAAGACCGCTCTTCTGGCCACAATGAACGACGAATCGACGGGCGCTTTCTCTCTCGATCAACTCAAGTAACTGTGCAGCAACGATTGTTTCTGTTGGGTGGACCTCCCATTTTGAAATATCTGTCTCGCAGCTGGATGAATTGGTATTCAGAGATACATTGGCTTTGAGTAGTCGCCATCCCTTGGCGACCGGATCTTCCATGCCGATTATAGCATTGCAGTTTGCGCAGTCGAGGGTCCGTTGCGCGGAAACTTCAGTGTTGGATTTTTGCTCTTCGTCATCGCCCTGAATTGCATTACCTGTTAGCAAATTGTAACCGTAACGGGAATTGAAACTATTGCACCGAATAAAATACTTGGAAATGAAGGGAAAGGCATTGCATTCAAGATCATGGCTATATAGATGCCCATAGCGCATCACGCAAGGAGAATAATATAATGTACCTCTTGTAATCACGACCGCTACATTGCTCAAATAGCCGGCGCTGAAAAGAGAGGACACTTTGAGTCACAAAACAGGAAAAGAAAGCAGCTCACACAAGTTCATTGTCGCAAACACAAAGAGCGAAATCCATCTGCGGAGAGAGGATAACTACCCAAAGAGTCCGTGGTCCTGTTCCTGCGAGAGTACCACCTTCCCCTTGGATTGCAAGTACACAAAGTGCATTTTGTCCATCTTGGGCAATTGTATCGGAGGCCACCCCACTGAAAAAATGAGTGGTCCCCTTCTAAGTTGCCCGGTTGGGGGAAATAAAAGGCAGGATGAAACGAGGGAGGGAAAAGGAGAGAGAGGGGGAGAGAGATCTAAATCTTACCTTTTTCAATCCTGTACAGTCTGTTTCAGCCACAAGGAAAGTGGCAACATCAACAAAAACCGTCCCGGAAATAGCCACAACGTGGCTATTCGCACCATATCCTTTAGTCTGTGCAGTTTGATCCTCGACCTTGAGTGCAGAGTCTTTCTCGTGTTTCTCGTGGCCTTCATGGGGGTCAGGTTTGTGGCAATGCCAGAAATCCATCATTTCAGCCCAGTTGCCACTTGGAAGGTCTTTCCAGATCCATCCCCGAGCAGGGCTTTCGTCTGTTCCCTGATCAACGGACTCAGATATTAACGAGGGATCAAGGAAGACATGTTCGCACTCTCGACAACGAATTCGAGTCGAGGACGACATCTCCTCTGCTGTCCAGGGTGCAAATTCATCGATTAGTTCATCTCGAGGCGCCAGCGCCTCTTCATCAGGATCAACCTGCATGCGGAAAGAGAAATCGTAGCTAGAGTCCCCAGTGCCATTAGGATCTGATTTTGGTGCTGGTCCAGAAACTGTCTTCAACACGCGCCAGGACGCGTCATTAACGCGTGCTGGCAGCTTGATTGTTTCTGTGACATATTCAAACGGTTTTGATAGGGAAACTGTGACTGCTTTTCTTGATTCTGAAAGTTGGATATCTGGTCGGATTCCATCAAATGCTGTAGTCCCGGGGAGGGAGACGTAAAGGGTTATTTGGCGGATGTTTGGTAGGAATTCTGCATGGAGATAGAGGGGTACATCGGTATCCTGCATTGTGGAAGTTTGCACGCACGCACGTATGTGTACCAGGCGGAGTGATGCTGTTCAATGACTGATGATTGATGCTCCTAGGCTAGAAGGACTAGGGGGAAGAGAGCGAGCAGCCTAGGTAATTATCTAGCGAGCACACTGTTCTGGGAATTATGACCGTCTAAGGCCACAGAAACATATCGAGCTTAGAGAAGACTTGTCGATGCCAGTGATGATGATCTCGATCAATCGTCAATCGCGTGCCCGCGTTTCTAAATGCAAACAATGCAAACAGCTAACATCAAATCACGTGACCGTATACATATCTGTAGTAGTATAAAGTTTTGCTTCTTTAAGGTAACAAAGGAACAGTAGTCAATCAATATATTTTCTTCAATTATTCATTAAATCGTATGTATTTGAGCTGAGTAGAGCAAAAAAGTTACAAATGGATCCTACAGCTCATATCCGATAAAGTTACCGCGCCACCCTTTAAACTCAGTCGCAAATCGCACAGCAGCCTTCAAAAGAAGCTATCGGAATCGCCCCAAGTCGAGGCCAATTCCTTTAGTGCTCGGGTAGTCGTGACAAAGTACACATCAGATGAGTATTCACCTTTAACAGCTTTCTCGGCAACCCATTCCCAGTCCTTTCCATTCAGATCATAATTCCGGATTTGGTCCATTTTGATCTCGGGCCGCAATTGCGCGACGTAGATACCAACGCAGATTAACCACCATTGCCGAAGAAGAGAAAGTTGGAACTGGGGAGGAATGAAAGGCAGCACGACACGGACGGCGTGACTTGTTACGAGGTTCAAAGCGAAGAACCAATCGTAATGCCCCGTGGAATCGTCTGCTGTTCCGACTAGCAAGGCAGCTGCAAGCTCTTGGCTCTCGCGGAACTGTTCAATCGGATTCTCTATCTTCCATGCCTGCCAGTGGTTGAGAAGCGCGGCGTTGCGGTTGGAAAAAAGGGCTTCGAGGTTGTCGCTGCCGGGAGCGGAAAAGAGGCCATCCAAGTTCTCATCTTTCCTAACCAGATCAAGAATGGCAAAAAAAGACTTTGATTCATATGATGAATCGTTTTTGGAGTGACTAGGGCATCCCAGGCTCTTGTATATGTCATTGTGACAGGTTGCCGCAAGGGCGAGTGCTTCCATTGCGATTTCACGACTGTCCATCTCAAAGGCATACGCAAGATGGATCAATGGCAATCCAACTAGAAAAATTGTTAGCGCGTGCAAACTCAAGCTCGGGTTTCTCCTTGAGGAGCATGAAAACATACGAGAAGCCATTATAGAATCAAACATGGGATCTTTGTCGGTAAACAGGTATTCGGCCACAGCTTCCTTCCAGTCATAGCTGAGATTGACCATTTCATCTTCGAACAAATCCACAAAAGCTCGATCAAATCTTCTTAGAGTTAGCGAGGAGTCCCAGATGGAAGAAAGGTCGAGACAAGCTCAGCAACTCACTTTCGACATCCCAGGTGGCCTCGCCAGTCAAGAGTAGTAATCTCAGCCGGTGATGGCTTCCATTTAATTAGATTAGCCGTTTTCTTCTCGTATAACCGACCTAAAGCGTCGGCGTCTGCGCCTTGCAGAAAGGAGGAGCTCAAGAGCTGCAAGTAGGTTAATCTCATGGACTAATGACGAAGAATGCATACATAGAAAGCTCTTGTTACCAAGACGATGCAAATCACTCACATGTATCAACTGGTTAGGGAAGTTCTGACGGTCGAACAGTGAGTTCTCGACATGGTTCAATTTCAGTAGGTGCTTAAATGCCCGGGCTGGCTTGTCTTGAGCTGTCTCGGTTGCATGGATATTGACCGGGGGTAGATCGATCGCCTGGGTGGGCGAGGATGAAAATAACCCAAGTGAAGGCAATGATGGCCACCGAACATTAAACATCTTGGCGATGAGTGAGGCTATGTGTACAACAGTTTGGATGGGATTGTTGGGAAGCTATCACGTGAAACAGAAATTCATATGACGTAGAATAGTATTTGGGGTTATCAATCTGGTCACATGATCATCATATGATCTATACTGACCAGTGACCACCACAATTTGGATAAGTAAATATTCTCTGTATAAGCCAGATGGAAAATTATATCATTTTACGACATAGTACTATTTCTAAATGATAGAAGTCAGTTGCTTGAATCGCGAGGAATTCTATTTGAAACTTCCAGATTTCACACTATCATGTTACATTTGTAGAATATATCTTGGCCATCTATAGACCTATTTCTTATGCTGTTCAACGAATGGAATCGGCTGCTCTAGTTGAGCACTCGCTTCTCCATTGAAGACTTCGACGTGGATACGGGGACCAACGAAATTCTTGCGTCCATCTACAAACCACTGGATGGTGGAAATGACAAAGACAATACCAAATGCCGCAACACAGTAATCTGTCGCATCTAATCAGCTTCGTGCTTTAGAATCACAGGAGGGAGTCAACTCACTCATGTTGCTACCTGTGGCAGGCAACTCAGGGGGGAAGAGAAAAAGAACAGTAGTCAGCGAAATGTACACCAACGAGATCTAAGAAGTTGCAAGTCAGTAAAATAATCGTTTTAGTGAAATCGCAGGGGGAGATATCATACAATGTTGATGGTCCAGCCAACAATTTCTGGCAGTTTGAATGAACGTTCTGGTAGCATTCTCCTTCCTCGACAGCAGTTCACTGCAATTGGCATTCCATATGAGAGGTCGAGCAGCACCACTGACGCTGAGATAATAGCATTGAAAGCACTTGAAGACGTTAGCATTATCCAGGATAAAGTTTTACGCATATGCTTACCTGGATGAACCCAAGAAGATACAACCAAAGACAGTCACGAGAGCCAGGTTGAGGTATAGGGAGTTCAAGGGAACCTGTAGTTTGGGGTGAACACGAGAGAAGAACGGAGACGCAGGGAGACCGCCATCACTATAACTAATATCAGTATAATGGCCGATGTTGAAAGATGAGGTTCCCATGATAACATACCGCGCGAAGGCGTAGATCATACGACTGCTTGTGGTCATAATAGCGGTTGCAGCGAACAGAACACAGACTAGCGGGAAGCTTGAGAAGGTGTCAGTACAACGAGAAAGTGATGGAAGAGCGGCGATGCCTACATCAAGAGACAAATAGCGCCTGCATTGCTCGAAGTGGCATTCTTCAAGATTGCAAGGAGCGGAGTTGCCGCAGAATCAATAATTTTGTTGATATCGCCAGCCACAAAGAGCAGTACAACAAGAAAGATTGTGCCAGTAACAGTGCCGATACCGACACAAGCAATCATGATCTTGGGACCCTCAATCGAGGGGTTAGGGATCTCTGTAGTCCATTAGCCTGAGATCCATGATCAAATGCAATATCGTGGAAACTACCTTCAATCATGTGGGCAACGCCATCAAAACCAGTAACACCAAGACCGCCTTGGAGGAGCTGTTGATATGTTAGACATGCTCATGAATTTTTGCATCAAACGACATACCCCAAGCAACCACGCAACTCCATCAGGCCCTTCAAGAGTCAGTCCAAGAAACATAGGTAATTGTAGGGGAGACTTACATCCAGTCCTATTAATGAAATCGGTGAAGACAAATCTGTCCTTTGTCAGTCTGTTGATTCTAGGGAATGGTCAACCGGATACGACGTACTCTGCAGAGTTATAATCCGGCGAGGCACATGCAAGGACGGTGATGCAAATAATGGCAAATCCCGTCAGAGACCAGATAACTATGGAAATTAGTAGTGGATCCCTGACAGCTCGATATAGGGCATCTCACAGGCGCCCTTGGTGACATAAGGCATAATGCTGTTCATAAATGCATTGACGAGGAAGGCAACGATATTGTAGCCGAGGTAGATCAGGAATTGGTGCCAGCGCTGAGGGTTATAACTCTAGATTTGAAAATCAGCAAAACATGTCAATATTGTAGTCTAGAAGGACCTACCGGGTTCATAAGGGAGATCACACCCTGAATGAGCTCACTGCCCAAAAGACCACCAGTTGCGACCAGCGCAACCCAGCCAGAGCAGTTGACCCAACCCGTAATCCAGGAAAGAATTGGCATCCATTTTCTCCATGAAGTCACAGCGACCCAATGATATTGTCCTCCGGCGGTAGGGTATGCAGAAAGAAACTCGGCAAGGGAAGTAGCCATGCACAAATTACAGATTCCAGCTGTAACAAGACCTATTAGAAGTCATGTTAGCTTTGGATTTTGAGATTTGGGCAAAGAGCCAAGCGGATACATACCCCAGACAATACTCACACTGCCTCCCGAGGGCAAACTGAGTGACAAACTTGCCGATAAAGCGGTCCATGACTGTCGAGTGTCAATTGTTGATTCTTATGGAATTTAGTATGCTCCCGGTCGCATCACGTACATTTAGAATGGCAAAAGCAAGACCCAGCATCGACCTTCGAGGAACACAGAGGTTAGCACAATCCAGGAACATGTGTACAATTGCAGCACCTACATCAGTGAGAAATTTCGCTTGAGCTCAGACTTATGGCCCATCTGGGCCAGCTGAGCATCATCGTTATTGTATTCATCTTTGTCCATGGCGAGTGCTATGTACCACGGGCAAGGGATGAAAAGAAAAAGGCGAGACAAGGAGGAACAGGCATCTTAAGCAGGCCCCGAATGAAACGCCATGACGACATATTTTTGAATATCACCAATTCACTAATCTTCACCTCTCTCCACGCCCGTTCGTTCCACGCGGGGAAGTAGAGGAGAAGTGTTATGTAACGGATTTGGGGTAACTATAAACAAGCTAAGAGGCGATAACCAGCTGTGTCTATGAATGGTGCGGCGGACCGAGAGCGGCGTTTTCAGCCAGTCACAACGTTGAAAGTAGGAGATCGTCGGAAGGCCCTTGGATAATCGCGGACCGACGATCCATGGCTTGCGGCAGCCCAAGAGCTTATGTATTCATCGACATATCATTGGTCAATATCTCACTGGATCTACATGGGGAAATGGTAAGGGGAAGTACAAACAAAGTACAAAGTACAGAGTAGTTGATCTAGAATGTGAAAATATAATGTGATACATAATATATGATAATATATATGATAATATATATGATAAATGAACATATCATATACTTTGTACTGTCTTTTTTTAAGGGCTTGGCTACTAGTCTGCAGGCTTGTACGGCCTTCGTTCCTGTTTCAGTGAATTGGGCCGAGATGCTGACTTTGAGTGTGGAGCAGTGGGCCACCGCTATCTCTACAAATACTCCTTTGTAAAGATATCTCTCGCCCCGGGGTTTCATTTCCCGAGGTCGACGGGATGCTATTTCTTATTCATCTATTGGGTGTGGATCATTCCAAATTTGAGCTTGGTCTGATTCCAGTCTGAGGGCGTATTTTAACACATTTCACTCTGAAGTCAAGCAAAATCAAAAGTATCTCCTTCTTTTCGGGGAGATAAAAAGAGAGAAAATGAAGAAAAGATGACAAGATATTGAGAATCGTAGAGCCCATAAAGTAAGGGAAAACAAATTTGCCATCAGCTAAGCACTTTCATTGCCCCTATGATGTACCAAGTACATCGTTTCTCCTAAACGCCAAATTAAATTTTGAAATCATACAAGGAAATTCAAATCCCAAACTTTCCAAGCTTTCATTGTTAAGATATCGCATTGATCCCCCTTTCACCCACTGTTCCTTCTCCGAATCCCATGTCCCTGGTTGTCATCACTATTCCCATGACCAGGGCAACCCCTCATTCAGACACTCTGCATAAAGCAGGATCCAACCTCCGAGGCACTCAGTTCGAACATGCTGGATCATCTCGGTCTCACTCCGCATACGGAAAGTACGACGGTAGATTTGATACCCTCGCTCAAGCGCATCGATTTCGGGGTCAAGCCCCATCATCTTCATGTGGCTGTCAGATATGTCTCTTATCCGAGGGTGTGTGAGCATGGCAGTGCAGCCACGGCACATCTGGAGGGGGGTGCGGGTATTCCCATGAGGCACCACAGGTGCCCAACAGACAACGTCATGCCGGTAGGACTGCGGCTCAAGACTGTCTGGTAGGTCAGGTGAATACCGTGGGGAGGTGTTGATAGTCAGGGAAGCAGCACGATAAATGTCATTCTGGTTTTCGACCACAAATTCATCGTTATTGGGGATACCTTCTTCTACATCTGCGTCTGCGTCTTCGTCAGAACTTGAAGAGTTGTCCTCCGCAGCACGCTTAATAGCCTTGCGGCTGCCATACACCTCCAGGGCTCTGGCCAGTACCGCTTTGACAGGAACAACCCAGGCACCAAGATCCCCAAAACCCTGGCCATTTAGGCTCAGCCTCGACAGGTAGATGGTTCGAAAGTCAATGATATCAGGTAAGTCAAGAGCGAAAATTAATCCTGCCTGTTCAATGGGAAGGCACCAGTATGCGGTGTTGTCGTGCGTGCATGCATGGCAGATACGCTCCATCGTAGGAAGGAAGAGTTGAACAGCCGGGTCACCACATGACATGCACGTTTCACGGCGAATTGCGTCTTTAAGCTCACAAATGGACCAGTTCTTATGGATTTGGGTCTCTTCGAGAATCTTCGGCAGGCCAGGAGTCCATCGCCTCAGAAATGAAAAGGAGCTGTTCTGAACAAAGACATTGGCGGTACGGTTGACATATGATAGACTGATGGCACTGGGCACGTCTAATTTGTTAACAATCATGTCCACGACTTCGTTAGGGAGACATCTCAAAGTCCCCAAGTCAGTCGTACCCTCCTCCTCGAATATGATGGCCTCTGGCAGAGGTACTCCCTCGAAACTATTGGCTTCACGTGTTGGGATATGGGGGTACTTTGCGAGCCGTTCCAGCAGTTTGGTAGGCTCACAGTTGTTGGCGTAAGCTTGTCCCCAGGACAACTGCTCTGGGTCCAGAATAATGTTCATGATGGCGGGACAGCGTGCAAATCACGCAAGAGTGTGGAATTGAATGTGTTGGAGAGAAGACAATCAGCAGAGCCTGTGGTTGGAGACACGCTCGGTCAACAGATGAAAAAAAACCTATCAATGTGATGTCAGTGAATGATGTGATGAACACCTTATGTGGATGATAACACAAACCTTCGGGATGAGAAGGATGGAAAATCAATGGAAAGTGATAGAAGAATGGAAGATATGATGAGAAAGGGTGGAAAGATAAAGTGATGAGAAGAGGAGAGGAGACGAGACGAGACGAGAAGAGGAGACAAGAAGAAAGCTACAAATCCCCAATCTGTGGAGGGACGCGAAGCGGAAAACGCGAGACTGTGACCTGGCATGACAAACGCAATGCGAGTGGGGAGCGGAACTTCACCATATTTCTTTTATTTGTTTACTATGTACTATATTGTTTAGGCGCGAGGCTTCCAGTAAGCTTGTGCTTGTAGGGAAGGCCGAGCTCGAGGTCATCCTTCCCCGTCGCGCCTTCCATATATGCTCCCACTCTGATCTGATTGAGCATACCTGAGGGGAACCATCTCACTGAAGACTAACTCAAACTTATAACAGTTTCCACCGAAGTGGACAAAGTTGAGCTTGAGGTGATATCCCACTGCGGTTTTCGGGCTCTCTGATCCGATCGAGCATATTCCGAGCTATTGCATTAGTGTCCGCATACACTGGCTCTTAGAATGCTACAACTTGATCTAGAAACCATAGAGAAAGAGAGGAAGGCTTTAAGAAAGATACTGTATACAATTGAGTTGCTCTGCAACAAGGTTACGGCCTTGGAAGCCTCATTTTGAATATTCCATCTTGGACCCAATCCTTGAAAAGGGATCCCATGAACCGGAATCTTTGTTGGATGGCTCTGAGTTGCATGATCTGGGAAACTTAGGCCGGTTTCTAAGAGAAACCCCCGACATTATTATTGAAAAAATGGACCGACTGTCTTGGAACGTTCATTGAACTTCCGTTTTGCCAATAAGCTCGTTCAGGAGTCTAGTTGCTCGCATTTTCTGAAGAAGTAGGCAATAGGAATGCCGAAAATTACCCTGGGACTGCTAAAGGCGAGAGAGAGGTGTTGCATTTCTATCGGAATATGCTCCTTATAGAATTTATGTTTTTTAGTGCATTCGCAAACATCTAAAAAGACATCTAAAAGCACATCGGACTATTCTTTTTATATAATGTCCCTAATATCAGACTATCAAAGTCTTGCGTCGAAAGCGACTATTCTTATGTTAGAATAAACTAAAAAAAAAACTTTAACCTTATAACGCCTGGAGGTATCATCCATGGATGGTATTGAAGGTTAGCTAGGTAAACGCGCGGATAATGGCTCAACCTTGGAATATCAACAGCGAACCTTAACCTAAATTTCAACTGAAGGGAACGACATTGGAATACATGCTCTGATCACAGAGAAATCTCAAAATAACGAAACGATAGCCCTGCCAATCCGATGCAATTATGAAAGATTGGCCCATTGAAAGATCTCAGGATTTCATCTGGTCTAGCGCCGCAATATTGACCTATGTAGTTGGTGATAGAAAGCTAGGGATGTAGTAATGGCAGAGAAAGGAATTAGAAATGTACAGATAAACAATAGGTATATCAAATCAGCATAGTAGATACAAAGGCCACCTGATCGGCCAGCTGAACCGTGCCGGCACGTTAAAATATACAGACAGTGCCGGACTTTCTATTCGACCTTCTCCGTAGGGCTCATCAAGTGATCAGTCCGAACAACGTAATCATCCTCATCTCCATCCTCTTTAGCATTGGCACCATCTGCCATATCTTCATCGTCACCATAAACAGATCCATCAGATTCCGCACCAGTGCGGGACCCCTTCCCCTTCTTGCTAGCGCTCTTGCCTTTGCCTTTGCTGCTGGTCGTTGACTGGCCGCTGGCGCGGCGGACAATGTTGCCTGGCCATTTGTTGTTCAGGCCTTTGAGACGGTTGTGGATACCCCCGGTGGTGTGGCTGTCACCATTCGTGGCCGGTGCCTCTGCTAGTGTGGCCGAGCCGCCCAGGTTGAATGCCTCCATTGCCTCGGCGATTGTCTGTGGTGCGGCTGCGGCGGGATCTTGCTTTGACTTGTCCACTGCTTCGAAGGTTTGGCGAATGCGCTCGAAGTGCTCGAGTTCCTTGGCACTACGGGGGGTCAGTATCATGGTATGTAGGTAGGGTAGGATAAAGGAAGGGAGTAGATGCATACCTAACACTTGGCACAAGCTCTCCTTGAGCAGACAGGAAATCCTCCTCGGTTACCATCACATTCACGTCGTCCTTCGTAGCAAGGTGGTCAAAGAACCAAGCAGTGCTGACGGGACCATTTGGTAGGGTCTTGATCTTTTCGTCGACCGCAGTGGCCTTTCGAGTGATAGCTTTTAGCATGGCATCCGAGCAAAGTGCATACAGATCAGCACCAGTGTATGTCAAAGGAAGCTGTTCTGAAACGCGGTCAAGCGAGACGTCGGGGCTAAGAGCGAATTTCCGCGTCAGGGCCTCAAGAATAGTCGCCTGCTTCCTATGTGTATCGGACACACCCAGGTAAAGCATCTTGTCGAAGCGACCAGGACGAAGAAGTGCAGTGTCAAGCAGGTCGGGACGGTTAGTCGCACCAATGACGAAAACTCCACCGCTATTCTCCTCGCCGCCGTTCATTCCATCTAGCTCTGCGAGCAATTGACTGACAATACGGTCCATGACACCACCGCTGTCTCCTTGGTTACCACGCTTGGGTGCAACGGAATCCAGCTCATCGAAGAACACAACACAGGGACGAGCATCCCGAGCACGCTGGAATACTCGGCGCACGTTTGCCTCGGATTCACCGATGTACATGTTAAGCAGTTCGGGGCCCTTGACGGAGAAGAAGTTGAGAGAGAACTCGGTGGCAATGGCCTTGGCAAGCAGGGTCTTGCCAGTGCCGGGCGGGCCGTAGAACAAGATACCACTGCGCTTCTTCATACCCTTGGCGAAGAGCTCGGGCCGTTCGAGTGGCAGCTGAATGGTCTCGACTAAGGCATCCTTAACATTGGTCAATCCACCGACATCATCCCAGCCAACGTTTGGAATCTTAGGTGCACCGATCGAATCGGCAAAGTTCTTGCGCGCAGCTTCTACAGCAGCGTCAAAGTCTGCCTTTGTAACACCACGTGCACCGTCGCCTCCTGCCAACAGGACGTCTCTGACAAAGACCTCCGAGCCGGAGAGCTTCTTGCTAGCCTCGACCAGACTTTCGAGGCGAGCTGTTCTCGCCCCGGCAGCTCTTTCTACGACGTCAACCAGATCTCCTGCAACAAGAGCTGCAGTCTTTAGAGCAATGCTGCCTAGTTCCACATCCGCAGAAAGTCTGATACTGCGTTCTGCGACGGCATTTCGCAGAATACCTTCACGCTCTTTCTCCTCCGGGGCACCCATCTCGAACTCATGGGTGATGAGGCTGCGGATACCCTCGGGGATAGTCTCAACATCTGTGGTGGTGGCAATAATAACTCTGGCGTCGTTCAAGATATCAGACATTGCCGTGACAATGCGATCAGCTGTTAGAACCTCGATATGCCTGATCAGCAATGCGGTGCAGTTTGCTCCGCAGTGGAAAGCTCGTTCTGCTCGGGCTTTGAGATATGCTTCGGTCTTGACATCGCCACCATTCGCACCGCCTTCTGTCAAGATGTCGTACGCATCAATAGGGAATGTGTGGAGGCCGATATCCGAGCACGCTCGAGTTGCGATGGTTGCCTTGCCGATATGTCTTTGCTGGGATCTAAGGAGTATAAAGACAGGCTTCATTCCCAGCTGAATAGCCCGCGGGCTTGTGGCAGCAGACATCAGATCACGGATCCGCTGCTGCAATGATGGGATAAAGGAGTGAGGTGGGTCGGCAACAATGCCATGAGGCATTGGCACATCATGGACGCTCTTTGGGATCGTCTTGACGCCCAGCCAATACTCCCACCCGTTGCGCAACACGCCTGGAACCCGGCTCACATCGCTTCCAGCCTGTACCATGCGCGTAGTCGCCGGGTCAAGTACAGCGACGCCGCCCCACTGATCTTCACCAGTCTCCTCCAGCTCTTCTACGGTAGTCGGGGCTACCTGCCCGACACGGAACCAAGCGACGCCGATTTTGCGGGCTCCAGCATTATTGCTATTAACAACTTGGCCCAGCCGCATAGTGATGTCTTCTTCCTGACTGGCACTGTCACCGCCAGCGGTGCCAGAGAACACGGCTCTACCGAGTGCTTCATCCACGCTAATTCCGACCAAATCACCACTTTTAAGGATACGCCGACGTGACTCAAAGTACTGCTTTAGTCCTGCAAATAGCGCTGGTTGAAGGGCCCGATCCATTGAGAGAGGAGTGGAAATCTTGAGCAGCGTGACCTCTTTCGCCAAAGGCGGGTTCTTAGCAGCAGTATTCTTCATCTGATGCAAAAGACCAGGTTTAGATGAGCTATTAGGAGTGGTGAAGTTCATGGGGGAAATCCGCAGATACTTGGGGTTTTCAATGTTACCAAGAAGCAACGGGGGAACGAAGACTGAAGGGGTCAAGCGGGCGGGTGGACGTTGCGAAATACTGGGCCGGCGTTCACCGGAGTGATTAATGGCATACCGGGGTTTGGAGGACGGAAGACCCGAAAGACCAAAGATCTTAACTGGGCGCCAGTCACCTGAGTCTTCAGGGGTATCATTGAAACTTCCAAATTTGAGTGAGGCGAACATATTCAGCTGGGGCTCCTCGGCGGCTTCGATTCTGACCCAATCGCCGGAGAAGCATCCAATCTTGGCAAGGGTGCTGATATCTACAAAGACAAAAGAGTCGACGTCTTCATCGTCGCGAGGCCGGGGATGCAGCACTTCGTTTGGGACTTGCTGCAGCAGACCTTCCACCTTGAAGGTCTTGCCTCCACCACGGCCAGGGCGCATGGTGGTTGATGTGAAATTTGATGCGAC